ATTTTATAATGCTCTCGAATTCTATTAGTTAAACAACGTCGGTTGAAGTGTGATATTTCATTGAAATGACAAAAATCTATATATATTATATATATATATATATTGCACACGGAGCTACGGTTTCGAGCGTATAGTCGCTACGATCATCGATACGATAAAAGCAATAGCAATAGCAATAATTTAATGTTATGTTTACACATTAATGAAGTGCTCTGCTTGACTCAGCCGATATTTAAGCTGTTTTGTTTCACATTGAATTTGATTTAAAATGGTTTGGTTCGGCGAAGTGGAATCGAGTGAAGAAAATTGAGTTCCATAGAAATAAATCGCAAAACACTAGCAATTCCCATAGCAATAGCATAAAAGCAATAGAGAGCGAGAGAGAAAATAGAATGCGTCCATATATATATATCTGGAAATGGATTGCACATTTGTGTGCTAGATCTCCCATCGGACATTGTGTATAGTGAGAGAGAGAGAGAGAGAGAGAGAGAGAGAGAGAGAGAAAGAGAGAGAGAGAGATATTGGGTGGTATGGTGGTTGCGTAGCATGACAGATGAGTTATACTAGACAAGTGGATAATATGATGAGAGCAATTGGATTTTCGGTGTTGTTGTTTTCGCTATTGTTTCTCCGTTGATCAATCGGCTACAATGAAATTCAATTGATGCTATCGCTTTTTCACTCGCTAATTCTGACAATTTTCCATTTTTCAATCAACACACTGGCGACACTGTCATTTGTCAACATGAGCGCAGATGATTTTCAACGATGTTTTATTTGATGAATCTTCTTTTCTACTCTCTCACATCAGTATGAAATGTGTTTCTTGTGAATTTGTAACTAATGCTGTTGCCACCGTCTATTTTCACATGACAGCTTTACTAATTTATGGGCCTGAGTCATAGCAATTTTTGGTTTTGTCGATTCATTTTTTTGCCCGCGCTTTGGACACGCGTGAACAATACATTCAACTAATTTCGCTTCTGCTGATTTAATTTCCTCTTTATAAAGAAATGAGTGGTTGTGTTTCTATGCGAGATAGAAAATAACGTGATTCGCATAATTTTTGCCTGATATCATCTATGTTCTATGAATAAAACACGTGTGTGTGTGTGTGTGTGTGGGTGTGCTTTTTTTCGTCATTCGTTTTGTATTTTCATTTTAATTTGGTTGAAGATTGCCAACACAATTGTGATACAAAATTGATAGACATTGTGTCGTAGTTCATATGAACTCTCGGAAAATGTTGGATTTAAAAAAAAAAACAAAGAGAGTGAGCAGTTGGTATGTTGGTCACTGGATATGAATGTTCACTGAAATGTTAACCGAAAAACGACCGAGTAAACGCATTCGTTATCTTTTATTCAAATGTTGACATCAAATAACATAAATTCACTGTGTTGTATAAAAAAGCACAAAGTCGACTTTCTGCTGCAGACACCAACACCAGCACCAGCACCAGCAGCAACAGCAGCAACTCAACTCAAATTGCAAGCCGCTTGTGGGCCACCGAATGAATGTGCATGAGTTGAGCAGTGCATTGCATGTTAAATCGATAGCATGAATTTTCAACACCATCATTATCATTAGACTGATGCAAAGCTCGCATTCGCTGTGCGACTTATCAAATGTTTTTTGAGCGCTGACGCGCCACCTCAATAGCCTTAGTCGAATGGCAAGAGATTCAACACCGCACAACAACCGACCAAAGACTTCATGTCAGATAACAGTGTTGACAGTTTATTATAGATGCTTCTTAATTTCACATTGACATTGCAAACGCTTGTTAGACTATTAGGATGGCGCTGCCATCAACCGGCTTTCAAACACACTAAGTTACAACACTCTCGAAATTTGACTAGCTGTCTCCACTTATTTGGTTCTTTCGTGTGTGTGTGTGTGTGTGTGTGTGTGTGTGTGCTCATGTTCATTCTCTTGCATTTCTCGTTTTCTCACCGTGTTTTCTCTGTGAACAGCAAAAAAAAAATAGTTTATGAATTTGGAAACTTTGCTCGAGAGTCGCCATATGTTCAAGTGTTTTAAGTGGATAGTTACCCGCACAACATGTGCCGCACACGCAGCAAACAGCCACCAAAGATGATGGAGGATGCAACTGAATAAAAGCGGCCAACTTGAAATGCATCCGATGAATTATGAGGAAAGCATAACTGAGCGCAAAACAACGAGAAAACTTTCCAAAGCTAAAAGTCGAGAATGATTTTCAAAATGATCTAATAACATTTTTCGACATTTACCCCGTTCTACGATCGCACACACAAAATAAAAGCTATGCGTAACACTTTCCTTTATTCATTGGAATAGCAATACACATATAAATACATTTTCTATAATTGGAGAGCGCGTGTGATATCCGAGAAAATGTTGCGTTATTTCAAATGTCTTTTTTTTCATTCATTCTGTTGCTTTGGTGCTATGATTTGCATAGACTCTGTGCCATGGGGCGAAAAAGAACTTTTGTCTTTAGAGACAGATGAAGATTACTTCAGAGCAAAAGAAAAAAAAAACTGTGCGACTTTTATAAAATATTCTCACTTTCATTTTTCAATTGGAATGCGCTGCTCCATCGGGTATCCAACTACCAGGATGGTTATAGTTGTCTTTGGCAACAAACCGCTTTAACTTAAGCTTTTTGCCCTTCTATCTTGGCAAGAAACTACTCGCATTTGATAACCTAGTCGCGCGATCACTTCGCGTGAAAAGAATGGATGTGGCTCTTTTCGTTGATGACACGGTGCGTATATCATTCGCGAGTAATTTGTAAAGTTTGTGAGGCACATTAGTGCATATTTGTGCTGTGCTGTTTTTACTCTGCACAAAAACGCAAACACACAATAAATCATTCACCGTTGTTCGAGATCCCCATCGCTCATGTGAATATTTTGCCCATGTACTTGGTGTGCGGTGAAATATCCGTCGCGGATGAGCTATGAGCAGAGTATATGCATAGATTAGTGAAGAGATACTCCGCATACAGATTCACCGTGGAAAACATTTCTCCGCATAGCAAACGGGCATGGTCTGGAAATAAAAATCGAATAAAAATGAGACGGCGGTGGCACAATTTTTGGTTATTATCTTGCTATGCATCCGAATTCATAGTGACACCGTGCCACATGACTAAGCGGAACGCAGCAGAAAAAAAAAATTCATTCGCGTTCATTCGATGATTTATTGTCTTTTGACTGTGCACATGCACACTAACACACATTCGATGACTCATTTCGTATTCAACCGACTTGGAATGCCATTAGAAATTTGCCACTAAAATACACACACACACACACGGGCGCGCATTGACGGAGCTGTTGAATGTTGGATACTTGCCACCGATGACATTCCGTTTTCCGGCGCTGCACAATGCACTCTGCATTTACATTTTTAGGAATACACAGTGTGAAGAATAACACATTTTAATGGGGCGGCCTGCATTACCACGCGCTCGCTCTCTCTCTCTCTCTTTCTCTCTCTCTAATTGCATAATCGGAGTAGAACATTTTTCAGCGATATAACACCACCACTGGGCACCACAACGCAAGAGCCACAAATCTAGATGCCGCTGCCATGCGTAACACTGGCAATAATTTTTGCACGCTCCAATGATATTTCGCAAAAGATTTTTTTTTTAATGGAACGCAATAATATAAGGAGTCGCGCTGGAACAGGACAGAGGATCTAACGACAGTCAAAAAGTACACAATCACTAATTCTTCAATAACAATGTATTTCATTGCTTAGAACGCCACACATTGTGGAGAGCTAGCGAATGCAAACTTTTGAATTTTAACGACGTCAACTCATGAATATTTCCACAAAAAATTCGGCAGAAAAACCATGTATTGAAAACATCTGCAAGAGATTCATTGTCGGTCACTCTCACAACCGATAAAACTCTGGGTAATCGCTGGTATACTACTTCAATTGTCATCGAAATTATGACACAGTTTAATTGGTATTGTTCAATGCCATTGGAAGAAGGAAATGTGGCCATAGGTCTTGAGTATGGGATAAATGAAAAGTCCGGGAATATAAATAAAAAGCAATTTAGTTTTTTTTTTCGCTCTTTCATGCTCTTTGCACTGAATAGGTTTGCTTTGCACCAACTGTTGTTGGCACTGCTAAAGTGCATCTCAAGCATACCGGGTATAAAAATATAAATTTTAAGGTTTTATTGAAGTCGCATTCTTATTTTCAAATTGAACACAGCATTAATTTGTTCGTTTGTTTCTCTCAAGAAGAGGAAAATGCCGTAGTTTTCATCTCGTTTGTGTGTGTGTGTGTTGTTGAAAATGACTGCGTTTGGGTGATTCGGAAAAACAAAGGTTGTTATTTCCAAATGTCAGTTGTTTGCGTCTATACATATGGCTTGTGTGCACTTCTGTCCGTTGTCCGTCTTCTTTGTCAGTTGCACACTTTTCAAAAACAAATTGTTTTCCAGTCGTTGCACAAGCATTTTTGCGTCACACTGAATTCCTTTTATCTCTGCTCTGCCCAGAAATTCAGAGCAACACAAAGTTGGTACTCGTTCACGAAACACCGGCTCACACAATAAAGAAATGAGTGAAACATACGAAATACAAACGAAAAGCGCAGCTCAAAGTAAAAAGAAGCGAGAAAAAAAAAGATGAAAATAATATTTTCAATTTGAATGCAGCAAGAATGGCGTACCAGTGAACTCTCTCTACGTATGTGAGTTAGATTTCAGCGAAAAAGACGCGCAAACTAGTTTGGAATCTGGTTCTGGCTTGCGTTCATTTGGTCACGTAGACTTGATGTAGTGTGCGTTGCTTGCGTCATTCCCATTGAAAAGGTGAAAACAACGAAGCTTACGACACACAACTCGATTTGCTCCCAAAACGGTTTTTTCTAAATACAATATCCATTTAATCAAGTTCACCACTCAACCCCATTGAATAAAGTTTTCTCTTTTGAGCGAAGCAAACTTGATTCCGAAGAATATTGTAAATTCAGTTTTCTCATTTATTTTTGATAAGAAAATAATTAACTTTGATTCTGGTACTTGTTCACGTTTTTACAATGCAAAAATGACCCAAGAATGAATTAAATTTATTTTGATTCATTGACAGTTTACAATTCGCGCACTTCCATTGTCAGGTATGGATTTGCGTTTTGTTTCATAAAACAACACAGTGAATGGCATAAATTCAATGACCTTAGCCAGCTGCCTGTTAACAATTAAGATGCATCGGCTGCACCAAAACCAGAACAATTCGATTGGTGATAATTAAATGAGCATTAAGCGATATAATCATTCAATTATTGAACAAGACTCTGCATATAAAATTAATTAATATTGACGGTTTTTTTTTGTGCGCCCGTATGCACGGCGCGTTGAACAGTGGCCAACTGCAACACATATACGTCATTTAATAATGCCGTGTCAATACAACATATTAATTATATATTAATTGCTAATTATAGGCTCTTGCTTGGACTGAACAACGAGAGTTCAGAGCTGGAGAAATTTCGGACTTTTGACACATCAACGCAACAATAATTTGAATCATTTGTATGCAAAGTGTGATCACGGCACATGTGGCCCGTTTTATATCACACGTTGAAAGTGCATGTTGTTTTATTTTAATTTATTTCATTTGATTTTTCTTGTTGCCATTTTTTTTTTTCGTTCAGTTCAAGTGAGGCAATTCTGGTGTGACATTACACACCATACCAACCGCACCGTTTCACTTGAATGGCAAGCGACATTTTAAATGTTCGATTTTCAGTCGTGCAATTGATGATAGACATGTGGTCACCGGTTGGTTAATTGTATTTAATACCGAATTCCAGTCGAGTGCGCATCACAAATAACGGAATCACATTTTTCCCATTTTCTTGATTACTGTTTACAGTTTTAAATACGTATTTGAATTAAAAACTAATTAGATTTTATGAAATCGGTCGTTGAATTGCACGTTGATTCTCATTTGAACAAAAAAAAAAATCGACCGCTGTGAGGCAGACATTTAACAAAAATTAAACGAAATGCACACAAAATAAAACGCATGAGTGACCATGAAAATGGGTTGAATTGGAATGGATGGTGTGAGAGATGAAAATCGACTGGATTTGATGTCATTGTCCATTCATTACACATGAAACACATTTTCGCTGTTTCATTTTCCTTCTCACATACAGTTGACACACGGTCTTTTCCACATCTCGATCAATCGATAGCAACATGTATCATTTACATCGGACATGATTGCAATTGCCAAATGGGAAAGGTCATCGAGCCAACGTTTCCAATTCTAATCTACCCAACTGCCATCAGATTCCTTCGTTTTGTCATCTCATTCGAGTTTCAATGACACCTAGCCCGAATGTACGTCGGAGCGAACACGGTAATACTTTAAGAATGGAAACGTTGTTTCGGATGAATTGCACTTTAACACATTATCTGGCCAGATTGTCTCACGGCAGAAAATCTCAATGACTCCACATTTTCCCAACGAAAACCCTAATTCGTATGGCAAAATGTAATCAATCATCGTTATTTGTTCAATTTAAATATATCTGATTGACATTTTGCAAATGAAGTGGAATCTAATGCAAAATTACAATCAAGCCGTACGTGCGCATCCATGTCGTTTCATGAAATCTCGCAGCAAAAAATGACAATTTTGAAATCATTAATTAAATTACGATAATACGATTGCTTGTTCATCATTTCTATTTGTCGAGACATATCGATACGAAATAGATCTTTTTTTGTCTCCCATTTCTGGATGAAAAATCGAATTTGTCATACGTTAATATTGCGTTAATAATAACAGTGAAGCCGTTTCGATATAAATTATTTGCAAATAAATTGTCATGAATTGTCGAGCGATTAGAGAATTGTACTCCCAATGCCAGCATTGATTGATCGACAATCACTGAACAGTGTACACAATAACAGCTTATGCGGAATTTTCACACACTCTGCGACTCGAATACTTTGCATGTAAAATTGCTTAACGACAAAACACTGTTTTTTCATTCATTTTCCAAAAGCATTTCAAATTTAATTCCTAGCCGAAATCTCTATGCATGCCGATAGGAACGCGCGCACACACACACACACGCATTGAAGCTGCGCGCAAAAAATCAACATCGTTTTGTCTCGCTATTTCCATTGGATGTGTGTACCAATACTTTTTTTTCGCAAGCACTTTTTGTTTCCGGCTGAAGTCGTGTATAGCATTTTGTATTTATCGATGGCACCGACGAACTGTTGTTAGAATTTCATTTTGTGCTGAACAAGCACAACGTGTGGAATCGTATCATCAAATCACACACTACCTCCCTCCCTCCCCCCACCACTACCACCACCACATACACACAAGTATTTGCTGCTATCATTTTATTAATATTTGCCGGCGAAGCTGGTAGCAGCTGAAGAAGAGAGAGACAAAAAAAAAGTATAGAGGAAAATGGCAAGAAATTGCACAGAAAATGCTCGACATTTACGCACATGAAGTGGCAAAAAGAGAGATCCAGAACAGAGGAGATAGAATGAATTGAAAAAAAGCGTCGACTGAATTGTATTTGAAAATGCTACTTCAGAACGAATCCGTTCTTTCTAGTGGGTTGGGTAGGTGCTTGATTGCGAATGAATCAGTGGAAATCAGCTCCATCACCATTACCATCATTTGAAATGAAAAAAAAAAATGAAATAATAAAAGCAAGCGGTAATTGAAAGAGTGCGAGTGAGGGCAACACAACACAAAGAATTTGATTAGGTGTCGAATGTGTACGGTGCATTCGACAAACTTTAAGTCAGCTTTGTCTGTTTGTGATTTCCGATTTTCGTTGTCGCTTCATTTCGTTATTATATTTGACTTGAAGCTCATATTGATGTGTATCGTTGTACTCGGTGCTGTGCACATGTACCACTCAATAAACCGAACAGGAGGCTGAATTTCAAGAGCATATGTTGCTTGATTTGATGCGCATCATCGATTCCATAACATTGTACGTTGATGTCGCCACAGCTTTGTAACAGCATCACAGATTGGTCAAACTATCGTATAGCGATATTTAATCCACACCTTTCGACATAATCTTAGAAAACTGAAGACTATCTGGATAGTCTTAGAAGACGAATTTTCAGTTGATATTTCAGCTATTTGTGCTGAAACTTCACTCCAACTCCATTAACAATGACCGAGTCTTCTTATTTTTTCCTCATTGACTTGTCTTCGTATAGTCATTTTGTCATTTTCCCTAAAATGAACTAGGGCTTTTCAAGTGACTCAAACCCCATCTACCCATTTTCATTGTTCAAAACATCCGTTTGATGCTCGCCATATCAGACTTTATTGCACACTTATTTCACTATTCCACTTTGATACTTGCGATGCGATGGGATATTTTCTCCCTTTTTTCCGCTATTGTGCAAACATGTAACATGTTTGAGCTACAAACAAATGAAACATCCCGTATTCATCAATCAAGTCAGAAATCAAAGCTCACAACCGGCGTCTGTGCATGCGTTCGTTTTGTGTCAATAAGTTCAAATTGGAAACGGTGTGCGGAGTGTTAGCAACAAACGATCGGTATATAGACCATGCACACACCACACGAACACATTGCCAATGGAGGAAAAAAAAATCATCGGGCCAAATCCCGAACCATAGCGCACCACAATCGAATTGCAATGCTTCTTGTTTTAGCCGTGGAAAATGCGCTGCGGCTCAGTGCCCAAGTGTAATGAGCTTGCAATTTAAATAACATAGAAGAGGACAACAAAAACTGCAAGCGAAAATAACTGCACAGAACAGTGATTCGAATATTCAACACAGAGGGTGAGAGAGAGGGAGGGGGAGGTAAAGAATGGAATTGCTCCGAGCTGCGGATATTTATTTGTCGTTTGATTCATCTCTTGACTCGCATTGCATGTGTTTGCTGCTACTTTAATTTCATTTTGTTTGCTTATTAATGTGAGTATCATTAATTTCGATGTACAATGCTGCTTTTGTTTGTGCGCTTAGCTTGCAATCAAAATGAATATAGCATTTTTGATTGGCATTATGGGAGAATGATGTGTTGTTCTGTTGCCATTGCATTCATCTTGTTTGTTGCCTGGTGGAGTTTTAAATTTGCAAGAATATTTCGAATAATTCAACAAATGTTGCCATTTTTTTCATTCATTTTTTTTTTCGTTCCATAAAAAAATGAAAACAAAGTATACTTATGTAATGTGAAGCATTTTTTTTTTCTGCGATATTTGTAATTGTGGTATTCTTCACCAATGAATTCGGTCTGATTCTTCCAATCAATGTGTAATAAAGTGAATGAAAACAGCAAACATCGAATTCTGCACTCTCATTGAGGATAATTTGAAATTTCCAAAGATAATTAATGAATATGGCGATTTGGCGCAACTAAATCACGAAACTTGGCAGCAGCAGCTGAAACATAATGCACAAGCATTAAAACTTGCAGTCAGACCCAAGTTGCTGCGAATTGTTCATTTCAGGCGCGCAGACGAAAGAGGAGCGAAGCAACGATATTTTGTATAAATTGAGGGTGCATTAGAGGCACTGGATATCAACCGGTACTTTATACATACACACACGCTGCTCGAATATCGTACTCGCACAGTTGAGTACGACACACCAATTTGAAATTGCAGTTCAAAATATTTAACGAGTTGAGCTCAATGCTTTGCCACATGTAGCATGGATGTTGATTATTTGCTAGTCGGCGCTAACAGCCCACACTTTAGCCATAATTCTTGCGATTTACGGGCGCGCTAAGTAGAATATCTCTGAATGGTGTTTTGAATTTTGGGGAAGAAATGTATGGAGTCGGTCAAAACTGGTTGCCTTAACTCATTATTTCACATGCTTGGTGAATGTGCCAGATATTTTGCGTAATTCGCATTTGCTGAAAATAGATAAAATCCAGTGGCTGGGCGGCGAAGGAATAGGAGCAGGAAGAATGTTTATAGAGGGCAAGCATATCTTGGATTAAAATACTTATTCCTTGATTCCGTTCAGCATCAATCGTTAAAATTTCAATCATAAAATTAATATTGCCGATTCAGTGTATCAGCCATTCAAAGCAAGCACCGTCACTGTTCCATTCGCTTTGTGCCCAAGTAAACGTCCAATGAATTACGGTTGCAAAGTAAAATACCTTGAAACAGAACATAAAACAAGAAGCTAATAATGCTGCGAGAACGGTTTTTCGGGATCGGTATTCCGTTTTATCTGTACTTGATTACGCTTGTTGGCATCTATATACCATTTGCCAACATCACCACCACTACCACCACCACCACCTACACCACCACATCACCTTAGACAAAGGTCTTATGCAATCTATTCGTCCAGCATGTTGCGCACCGTATTTCTTCTCAAGCGTAATAGATACATTCAATTGCAACGGTGGAGATGTTTGGTTTGGTTTTGTTCGCAAGCGTTTCGTTCGGCTTGATTCTGCAGCGTGACACATGAAATAAGAAAGCCAAAACAAATTTCGTTATGTCCTTTTAGTCACGAATGGTTAGACTCGTTTTTGTCAACGTACGTGACGGTTAATGGATGAAATTTTTCTCTGGGAATTCTCTCTCTCTCTCTCTCTCTATTTATCTATCCATCTATCTCTCTCGCTCTGTGTATGCAATCAGAACGGGAAAAAGTATTCCGTACATCAGCCAACAATTACGCGAAATTCGCTTCTAATCGAAGAGTAAACCAATAAAAAATTGATTGGCATTCGATTCGAATTATTTTATTTATTTATATCATTCTTCTTATTGTGTTGTGGGTTTTGCCAAGAAGATATGACCCCTTTGGCCCATTTAACATTTACATCGAGTGTGTGAGTGTGTATCGCGTGTGACATACATTGTTTGAGGATCCAAAAACCCACTGTATAATCGTAATAATTTTATCGATAGAGTAATTTATGGCCAATTGTACAGAGATAGTACAATGTTTCAAATTGTTATTTCATTTTCTGGAGCAGTTTTTTTTCTCTCTCTCTCTCTCTCTTTCTCTGTCTCTCCGCCTATTGTTCTGTTTGGCAGACAGCGTGAGAGGCTGAGAATAAGAGCACTTTACATGATTTTTTTTTGCCCAGCCAAAGCATAAACAAGAACTTTTTACCTATTTCCGTTCGACACAACGCCAATGCTATTTAAAAAGAAAAGTACAACAATAAACATATATCAATGAATATGGGCTTCAGTTGCTCGCTGTGACATGGTAAGTGCACAGGCGGCGGCAGCACAATGTATACTATATCATATTTATCGCTTCAATTTCAACGATCCTACTTCAGCACTGCATCAAAGAGCCTGACTGTGGGAATATAGAGGACAACTTATGCCATCGAATGTTACTGCTCATGTTACCATTGCCGCTGCTATTGCGGCTGCCACCGCTGCTGTTGTTGCTGATATTTTTACTCTCAGTCATTTTATCGATATCAACTTTATCATGTATGAGCGCTTTTGGTGGCGCAGCAAATGTTATTAAAAGAGGAAATGTTTTAAAGTGGCAAAAAAAGAAAATGAGAAAAACGTAGATCGAAAGTTCAATATTGAATGGTGGCGTTTGTTAGCGAATCATGGAATGTAAATGTGTACAGTTCCTCTCACGTGTCGGAAACAAGCGGAAGAATTGTAATGTTTTTTTTTTCTACTAAAATTGAAAAAGTTTCAGCGCTTGAATGTTGTTGTTTCCGTGTATTGCTGTTTGCGTGTCTCGCAACAAGATCTGTTTTTCTTCCTCCCGCTCTCTCTCTCTCTCTATGTTTGCAACTTTTGTATATTTGCTTTTTGGTAGAAACATTCAAGAATGGAAGAAAAGCAGCAAAAAAAAAGAGAAGCATAAATGTCGGAAAGCAACCACAGTCATAAATAATGAAAATCGTGGAGAAAAAGTCGCCACTCGATAGCAAAATATGCTTGCTATTTTCCCCTCTCGTCGGCGGGTGGAAATAATATGAAAATTATCAAGCCGAAATTGTTAATATAAACAATGCTCGTTGGTGCGTTGAACATGCAGAAAAATTTTCCTCCAAATATCTAGTGATTTTTGCATATTTGGTTAGCATTTTCTCATTTTCGACCGTCATCATGATCCGTATTTGGTTCGCTTTGCAGCAAAATAATAGCTCATCATTCCATTAACTTAAACTTGGTTATTATCAACTTTCTTAAACTCAAAGCAGTTTAGTGATATTTCTCCCCTTAGAATTCAAACATAATTTTGCAATATGAAATTGCGTTGTGGCGCATTACATCTGGAAATTTATCATTATAAGGACAAAACAATGCGAGAAATGAACAGTTTTTCCAGAAGTCAATTGAACTTTTTGCACACGCATTTCACAAGAGACCAGGAATAAACGAAGAAAAACGGAATTATTTTAATACTTTTACATTTTAAATGTGAATGTACCGAAATATATACTTCATTGGATGATGACGAACATTCGAAAGCTTCGAATTTTTGCACTTTTGCATTCGTCAACGGCCTAAACAAACACTATATTTACATACAGCACAAAAATGGGGCACACCAATTCTTTTTTTTTTATTGAATTGTATAAACTCAAAATTAAATTATGAGCGAATTCTTTGTGAATAAAATGATTTGCAATTTCAAAGCAGACAATCGCTTTTGCCCAATGCTCTTGTGTATATTTTGGATTCGTGTCCACGTGCGCTTATCCTTTTTTTTGTTCCTTCTGTGGTGAATTCCAATTTCGGATTTTTGTGAATGTGGATTTGACCGCAATGGCTTTTTTCTCTCAATAAACTGTGTCAAACAATATTGCAATGGTTCAATCGTGGTTTTTATGGTAAACCCAGATTTGTGGTAAACTACACAAGTGAATATATATGATCGGCGTTCATTGAATGCTGGCTGCTGAAACCATATTGAATATAGAGAAAAAATAAAATTCATTTTAATTTTCGAATCATCGCCTATTTTAAAACACACACACACACACACAATATACCACAGAGATCATTGCCAGGCAAATTCAATTTGAATAACTGATTGTTGATATATATAATATCAAATATATTTGTTTTACCATTGAGTCGTATTTGCAACCGTGGTGTAATTTTAATGTTGATAAATCATTTTGTATGTCTGTATTGTTTTGTGTGTTTTGTATGTTGTTCATTATCAAAATGTTACAAATTAATGGAATGAACGTGGATTTTCTATAATAATTGTTATAGAATTATAATTATATGTTGAAGTCATACGTTAAGCATCCGAAGTGGGAATTAACCTGGTTGCAAATGCAAGATGAACTACACGAAGAATTTCGTAAAGCTTATCTCCAAGTAGGATCATGATCGTTTGACAGCGTTGTTACTTTATAATGAAGCTTAAGGCATAATCCCTTCAGCTATGTGTTGATAGAGCAATAGAGAAAGAGAGAGAGAGAGAGAGAAACAACGCGTGTGTGTATTTAATTATGTGTTCTGTTTGGAGCTGAGTTCATTTTTGTTTACGATGTTGCTAAAATTATGTATGAATACGCTTGTTTTCAGGCCGTATAATAATAAATGTCAGGTTTATCGTGAAGTAAATTTATCAAGTGCACTCTATTTTGAATATACATTGTGACGTTCTCATTGCTGAAATACTGTTGTGTTGTCAGCCGCATGTTTTTTTTTCTTCTTGTTTTCTGTTCTCACTCCTCTGCTTCACAAGGATTGCAATTTCAACTTTTCAATTCCATACAAAAAAAAACTGCATCGCAAAACGTATCGCTAGTTCAGTTGTTGATAATTTTCATCAGGCTTCAGATGCAGTCGATTGACTGCGTCATTCGCCATTGCAAATTTTTACATACTTATGGCTTTACAATTTTCTTTACGACTCCTATATTTTTGCATTCAATAAATGGAATGCTTTTCAATATTTCACTAACTTTGCACTCGAAAATCAAATTACATTTTTCAACTTGAAATTCGTAAGCGCGCACCCGAAAACATAACTACATAAATGACATTGCCGTCGCATAGTGAAGCATTTGGTAAAACGGAAATTGCACGAGCCACTAATGCCAGAAGACGATTATTTTTTGGTTTTCGCGCTCTGTTTGCGAGGAGAACTCAAAGTCTGCGTCTTTACTATGAATTCGATACCGATTGCAAACGGTGAATTCATCAATGCGAAATTTAATGCAATATATTTCAAAGCGATGAAGGTATGCTTTTTGCTCATTTTTTTTTTTACTACGAATACAGCCTTATGCATCTACGAGCTGCGTCACGAAACAAACGATAAATGGCATTTCACAATCGAATAATCCATTTCAGAGAAATGTTGCTGATGAAGTTCCGTTGAAATGTCCCCCATTTGAAATGGATATGGAATAAAAATCGGGAATTCTTAAGCAAAAATTACCAAAAATGATTTGGGGAATAGAAGTGGAAAACTGACGATCAATTGAATACGTCAACGATTTCAATTCATGAAATAAATGAAAAAAGGAATGCAATAAATTTATACAATTTTATTGTATGGCTTGAAATGTGGAATGACAATAAAGCAATCATTCATCGTGCTTCATGTGAAGAGAATACACAAAACGGCATTTATTTGCTGCAAGTCATCCTCCTCAGTGCATCAACAACTGGAACGATTTTTTTTTAACGGATCTCTGTTTCTTTTCCCGCCGAGTTTTTAAGATTGTTTACAGTAAATATCGAATGAAAAACGAAAGAGGGATAAGAAGGCGATTTACATCGTTTTTCTACAACCCTATAACATCAGCAATAATCGAAACTGCGACAGAAATGCGGAAGAAACGACATTTTATCATCCAGAATATTCATCGCAATGCAAAGATTGATTATACACATTTGCGTGTATGTGTGTTGTTTGAGCAAAGCTCGTCCAATATTCAGCCATATTTTAACTGCAAAACTGTGTACCATATTTATACAAAGAAAATCGTAGCTTTCTTTTGCATTCTAAAATGAATTTAAGTGGGTTTCCCGTTTCGTTACACTGCACACACACACACACACACACACACACACACACACAACGACAACAGAGAAGGAAAAATTACAGTTTGCAACGACCATCGAAAAACAGCCAAAAAAGGCATTAACGTTGCCATACATTTAGCATTCCTTTGTACCAATACTGAATCCGTTTTTTGTTCGGGTGCCGTTTCGTCAAAGATCGCAGATGTGATAAATTCCCAAGAATATATTATATTGTTAAAAAAGAAACGATAGTTTAATGTGGCTCCGTTTGCTGTTGAGCAAGAGCATTCCCTCCAGAGATTACAAAAACATTCAAAGAAATTGCAATAGTGGTCTGAGCATTAGGCAGTCGCATATCTCGAGCGATTTTGTCGTCGTTGTCGTTCGTTGTCCTGTGTGCATCACATTACCTTGCTCGCGGTTTTCCTTCACTTTTTTTACTCAGTGCGCTTGTCTTTTCCACGTGCAAAGCGCTGTCACCATCACTCGGTTCAATCTTTCTCTGTTATCGCCAAACGCGACAAGCCAAATACCACTCATGGCTGTCAGTCATCTGTGCATTTTGTTTCTTCCATTGTCAGAAAGTAATTGTGATACGATTAAACCGTATGCATTCCATATCACTGATGTCTTACAAATATTTTGGTTGTTACGGGTCTTTTACATAAAAGAAAAATCGTCATCATTTTGAACACGATAAGTAATTGCCGGTGGGAAAATGACATATCAAACGACAAATTGATTTGAGTGAGCCAAATGCACGCGGCACAACGTGTCCAACTCATCCCGATACATTTTTGAAATAAACGCGCATCACGCGCGTTCAACAGTCAGTTGATATCAACCGGTGTGATTTTCTACTGACATACTCAACGCCTTCTCTTGATTTGGTCGGACGGATGCCTTAATGCATATTCTATGTCGCATTAGTATGCGGAAAAAGACGTTGCTATGTAGCGTGTTATACCGTTCATATCCCGTTCACCATTTCAGTTTGTCGCCTTCAATTGGTTGCATGCGATCCAGCAAATGGAGATTTTTGCCGCTCGGACATTCCGCTCTCGTTGTACCCGGGAACCCTAGATTGTTTATCATTTGATGTTATTTTATCACTCTCTTGAGTACGATTCCACTCTCTTTGGTTTTTTTTTTTCGTCCTCACTTAATTCCGCATGATATAACCATTCTCACGATTTCGACGGACACATTCCGACTTTAAACTTCATTTATTCAATCCAATTTGGATGGGAGAACAGAAAAAAAAAATTCATTATTTCGCCCCATTATTTACACATCAAGTGTGCTCAAAATACGGCGACACGTTCAAGTATCAATTAAATTCAAAAAGTTTGCGTTTTATAAAGCATTCGCTGTTTCGTGCAGCTATGAAGTTGATGCAATTATGCAAAGTCAAGACAATTTATGGCCGATTTTTTATCATCGTTGTAGAGGGAACCTTTCGAGAAGAATTGTGCAAGTGGAAAAATGCCGGGCAACAAATAAATATAAAATTTTAATGAGTCTCCAAAGAAAGTTTACCCGGTCGTAATATCGATAGTCGAATGTCGAGGAAAAGTTTCTTCCAACCATTTTCAATCGAAGATTATATCAAATCGAAAAGCATAGGCTACAAAATATCCTTTGCTAACATGTGGAGAAAAAAAAGTTATTGTTTGAGACTGGTTTTTTTTTCATTTTTCTTTTCTTTGAAGTAATCAAAAGACTTGAAATGACCATAATTAAAACTAAAAACTATTATCTAACGAACGAACTTATGTTCATTGAGATCAAAAGTGAAAGAGAAATGCGTAAATCTGTGGTGGATACGAAGTTTGAATGAATACTTTGCTGGTTTAGCGAATAATGTTAAAATTTATGCATGAGCAGTGAGATTAATGTGATGATTTGGAACAGTGAACGAAAATATGATGATCAATAATCGGTTAATCCCGTTTTCATTGAATCGATGTTTTCTATTTTGTTTTTGTTTTTTTTGGTAGAAAAGCATCTCTGAATCATCATCACAAACCCGATCATAGCACATGTGTAATTACATGAAGAGATGACACATTTTAACATACGAATCAGATTTTCGCTTCACTTGATAATTGACAGGGGGAAGAGAAATTTGCGATGATAGAAAGTTTTCCACACCCACACTCAAGAGATATGTCGATGAAATGAATGGAACGGAATAGATGCTGACACATGTCCCAGCAGTCTTATGCATCAAAAAGCATCATATCAAATTGCATTTTATGATTGTGACAATCTGGAAATTTTTACTCTGACATTTTGAAAATTATAGCGAATTTTTCACCATAGATGACACATGTACTGATAGTCGATACTGCCATCGGTATTGAATAACATTGCAAATTTAATGCATTGAAGCATTTGCTGATGAACAAAAAAAAAACCACTATCCAACCAGTCGCTCAGGCATTTCCGAGAAAACACCATCGGCACCGCCACCAACAACAACGGAAAGAAAAAAACTGTTTACGAATCATGGGTTGCTAGGCGATGAAACTTGCATGCATCCTACATGCAACGATGCATTTTCAAGTGAAGAAAAGCAATAAATATTTGTTTTTCATTATTACGTGTTTTCTTTCATCAGCGCCACATCAAAAGTTTCATAATAATTGACCCTAATGCCGAAAGTGGGAACGTTGAGACAGAGACTGAGGGAGAGAGAGAAACGTGAAAATATGTCCAGCACATGGCGGCAAACGAATATCCACAACGAAAAAAGTTCCGAACAACCAGGGCTCCCCACCAGAAAAATTTTATACAATGAAGATTCGTGGATACTACATTCTTAACATAATGATGGTTTATTGCAAATGCAGATTTTTTTACGCTTGGGAATATTTTGAGAGACTAAATAAGCAATAGGTGCATGTGATTCAAAAAAACGCTGGCATTTCATAGCGATGCATTCCTTTGTAGTACATCAATTTGCGATAAACTGTTTTTTTCTATTTTGGAACGCTGTAAAAATGGTTCGCATACGTTACGGCGAAAGTTTGCATGAGATGAATATTTGAGCAATAATGAACAGGTTGAGCGGCTCATCTTGGATTATAATTATTACTCATTTTTCTGGGTCTGTTGCCTTTGGTTTTGCTCGATTAATATACTTGGTTTTGTGTTGCTCGAACTAACATCAAATATATTACCGTTAACATCGAAAGCAAACGTATATCATTTTCTTCCTCAGAACAGATCTCATATTTTCTCGGGCACATTTTTTTCTCTCAAAATTCATCGTATCTTCTTTTCTTTCTTTCTTTCTTTCTTTCTTTCTTTCTTCCTTTCTTTCTTGTTCTCTCTTCTCTCTCGCTTTTCTCTCTCAGTATCTCTCTGTGTCTTTCTATTTCTTTCCGGCACATTGCGTTTTTTCGTCAACAAAATTGATCAAAGACGTAAAAGCTGTGGAAAAGTGCAAGACAACGTCAACGTCGAGCTTTCCGAGTCTATGGAGATGGAGAATTTGAAATAAACTGAATTGAATATCGGAGTAACAAAATACCGATTTGGCTGAAACTACTAACGCTCGCTGCATTCAATGCAAGCAAGTTTTCTTTCTTCATCCCATTGTTTTTTGTTGTTCGATTTTCCAGTGAGAGAGTTAAGTCTATTTTGAGAACTTCTCCTTGGGAAAATTTCTATTTGTGCAACGGGTAAAGTGTTCAAAATGAGCAACTAATAAACAGTTTGATATAGATAACAATGGCACTGCCATGAGTCGACTATGATAATAATGGGCAATGTTGGATCGATCCATTGCAAAATGTATCCGTAAATATTTTCTATTTTGTACATCCACTTTGAAATCAATTCGTATTTTTGCGATAATATTCAGGCGAGAAAGAGAGAAAGGAAAAAAAAGAGTGTTATTCGCCTCACTTCAGCAAATGCAATCTCATAGCTTAAAGCATTAGTTATCGAAGTATGAAATCAGTTTGAAAGTACTCAACTTGCAATCAATATTGTAGCGCGTGTTTTTTTTCTTCTTCTCTCACTTGGTAAATCGTCAGCAATGTTAGCGATTTATGTTGGAGTTGATTGCATCACTAACGTAAGCTATTTGCTCGAAATAAACTATATTCGCTCAAATAAATATTGAACTCATCGTATCGATTTTTTGTGGTCGTTGATGAATTTCCAAGTGAATTTTATATCTTTAAATAACGGCAATTTCATATTGTAACGTTCATCACCTCAGAAGCTATTAAACATTTGCAAACACACCTTTGCACATCAAGAGATTAATTTGTAATAAACTCAAGTGTGTAAAATTGATGCACTTAAATTGGATGCGAATGCCACATAAACACACACACACACACACACATACACACACTCACAACGATTAACTTCAACCCATCGTTGCGTTGCGGTAGATTTTCCTTAAACCACTTCCACTTTCACAAATAGTCAACATTTATTCTTTGGTTGAGAAAACGAACACATTTGCAAAGCTTAAATCATTTTCTTTTTTCTGCTTGCAGACTCTGTCTTGTCTATAATCTTCTGCCATTTGCAATCAACACAATAAATTAAAGTGATGGAGTTACACATTTCAGCTGGACTCCTGGAAAAAGCTATTCAGGCTTTTTTCTCTCTCTATTTTTTGTTAAACATCTCGTGAACTCAAGCACATCCGTATGAAGATAATCCGATGCAAGCGCAACTAATTTGTCTATGGATCGGCCGGCTGGGTCATATGAACCCGTTCGATAAACTCTTTTCTTATTCGCACTTTAAATTTTGATCAAGTAAACATTAAATGCAGCATAAGCAGTTCAATTATCGAAAATTGCATTGATTGAAATTAGGTAAACTGATTGTTCATTGTGTTCTCAGTGTATAATTGGTTTTCGGCATAGCAACCGCAGGCCGTCCATCACCGTTAAAAAGCAGCAGGAAAAATTACGACGAGTTTTAATAAAATTTGCGCACTTGATTTTTCTCTCGTTGATTTCTGCTTCGTTGTACGTTGTCTCTCTTGTATCTTTTCTATCCGTACACTTTTATTCAATTGACATGAATATTTTAATCTTATCTCGAGGTGGAATTGTGCGCTTAATGGTGTGCGTGCGCGCTATCTCAGTGGCTGGCTATCTCAGTGACTACAGTTTAGTATGCAAATTAGTCTATCACGAATTGCATTCGCTTGGAACATTGGCTGAGGTTTAAGCCGTAAAATGTGCGAAATCATCCATTGTCCTTCTCTCTCATCAATTCTCTGGTGAGATTCTCTTTGCATTTTCTCCAGCCCCATTTCCGGTGTGTTCACTATTTTTCACACGCAATATCAAGAGTACGCTATCAATTTGCCGAGCGAAGGAGGGTGCGTGCGTGTGAGTGCATGGTTATTTTATACACTTCCACAATATATATAGTACCCTGATGTACAATCCACAGTGCTGTTAAAAATTGAAATGGCTGAGGTGAAGTGATAGCTGAAAACTGGAATTAATGCCCATCCACTCGAACGTTATCGCTGCGATAAATTTTATTTGGCTAAGATGAGAACGAATGCGAAGAAGAAGAAAAAAGCCGAAAGAGAAGATGACAACACTGATAAATATCCACACTGTGGAGTGTCATACCGTGCATCACTTGTATCCAGCACTGTAATTGGTTATAGATAACCAGTTTTAGTTAAATATGTGAAACATTTTTCCTCGTGCGTACGCATAAATAGAGTAAAGTATAAAATAATTTTTGCGTCAAGTCAAAGAATTTGCGACTGTCCCAAAGGCGTTTTGATAATAAAAATAAAAGTGTGTATAGTGTGGTAAACTAGTGTACACATAGTCACGTTAATATTTATGCTTGCATTTTAATCAAAAAAAAAAAAGTTGGATTCGTGCAGAACTCTTTTTTCGTGTTTTCCTCAATTTGAAATGCACGATCTCGCCAAATCAGCGAACCACTCCTGTGGCCATTTCAACCAAGAACGGGGCGAGTAGAAGATGAACACAAAAACAACCATTCCCATAATTGCACATGCACACGCAATGCTATCAAGTGTTTCGGTTCCGTTTCCCACCCGCGAGCTTTTCTTTCACTTATTTTTTCCCCCTTATACGGCAGCCTCGTACATTTGAATAGTATTCCAAATTCATTTGTTATGCGAAGCCACTGCAAATGATTTCAGCAGGATAAAAAAAAAACGAAATATAGCAAAAAATAACAATTCTATGGAATCGCTCTCAAGAATTTCGTTGTTGGGAAAATCCAGTGAAATAAAATTAACAACTGCTTTCTGGTTTGTCATAAGTAACCAAGACTGCCACCATTTCAGCGCTTTGGTGATTGCAAGAAATTTGCGATGCTAGTGACGTCGGCCGCAACCTTAAAATTTAGCTCAACTCGAGAGAGAGAGAAAGAGAGAGAAAGAGAGAGAGAGAGAGAACAAAAAACGCGTGATACTGTACCAAGCCAAATATTTCATCAATTTCATTGGAACGAGAAGCGATCGCCACGTCCATTGTGAAAATGCCCCACCAGCACAAAAAGTCGGAAATGAATACCATTAAAGTTCGTCACGCTACACTTTTCTTGCTTCCTCTGTTCTCTTTCTTTCGGTTCATTTTCTACTGTTTATTTTTCGATATCACATTTGTGTTTGTTCATTCAATTTATAAATATTTTTGAAGATTTTCAGATGTTTATCAACGCAGTAGAGGAAAAAATATAAACTGCGCACTTAAATGTGGTCGAATGATTGATAAAGGACTTAAGTTCAAGCATTACTACTTCAAGCGGTAGCGAAACGTACAGTTAATCGGCCATACATCGTAGCGTAATAAATGTATAAATCACATCGCATTTTGTGCTCTTTTTTTTTAAATCTAAAGTAAATCTGCAATCAACAGCTACTTGTAACAACGGTGCACGAAGCAATGAAAAATGGTCGCAATGAGTGTTGTTGTTAGAGTATTTCGTCAAAGCGCTCAAAATTGCATATGCATTTGCCACCAAACGTTGATGATCTTCGTTCAACAAGTGTTTCGGTCTACATTTGGATGTCTTTATATCGTAAAAATTATCATTATCTTTATCATTAGGAATGGTTATGCTGTTTGTGCTCACTCTCTGTCAAGTGTATAAACGGTACACGATAACGTAAAGAGCACACAACCACTTACCGTGAAAATGATGTCACACAACGTGATATTGCTCTTCATTCTCACATTTTCGTCCGACACGTTGCTTGTTCAATTTTCTGTGCAGCGACAATTTTACGATTGTATTGAAGCTTTTACTTGGTAAACTTTTTAATACGATGTCGCACGCTATTTTAAAACTGCTGATTGTATATCATTCGTATTGCACGTGTAAGTGTCAACCAGGCATTCAACATCACAAGCTCCAAAACAGCACTTGAATGCACCTAGCAACAATATTTGCCACCGAATTACAATTATTTTTCATTTAAAAATTTCAAAGGTTGTTTTAAAATATTCCGTGCATGCTCGTTCCGCTTAACTAATTGCACTGTTTGATTCATTCTTTCCACTCAACCATTCGTCGAAATTAAAATCGAAACCTTTCGATCCAAAAGTTTTTGTTGACTTTTGAACGAACGTCACTAATCTAATTTCTCGTTTAATAATGAACGTTTCGGGTGAAAAGTGCAATCACCAATGGGGTGACTCATCATATCCCATATTTGTAGAAATAAATTTCCATTCGTCGAAAAAAGAACATCGGTTGTTTCCATCACTGCTTTCCTTCGCAGAAAATATTGTTCTTGATAACGTGTTGAAATCAAATCAGCTGATTTCATTTTCATCGAATGTGTTCGAATGTGAAAACGAATATAATTTCATGATTTACATTTAATCAGCTCAGCGTTAGATCTCAATCATTTTGAATAGCCGGTTTATTGATAAGCGAGTCCATCTCTGTTCAGTCGGCAACCAACGAATTGTATGGATTTGCCAGTGAAAGTCATTAGAGTAAATTGATGGGATGAGGCATTGACGGCGTCGGCCTCATTGGCAGTGACAACGGCACACAAATGATTATATATTGGAAAATATCCAATAAATTAACAACAAAGGACGACGTTGGCAAATTTTATGGATCAGAATGAAGATTTTATTGGGATCATTTCATAGTGAAAAAAATTATCAAACTAATTACTTGACGACAGAGAAATCTATGTCTGTATGATAAAAACCCCGTCAAAGTTGATTTTTTTTTTGGTATTTGACTCGAATCGACCCACAATTATTTTTTTCTCACCGATTTTCAAAATATTGCTAAAATATCTTATTTAAATGAAAAAAAAAAGATCTGCATACTCAGTTTTTTCAATTTTCCACTAGTTTTCCCGGAATTCATTTTTGATTTTATGATTTTCAGTGCAAAATCGACGAAAAAAAGTGGAAATTTAAAAAAATGACGCAAAAACTCACTTTTTTCAACAAATTAAAATTTTGAAGTGCTGTAACTTGAAAATAATTCCAACAACTTTAGATCCGCCAGGAGCACTGAATAGTGGCATCCTTTAAGAATCATAAACACGCTATAGCATAATGATATTATCACGCGTTAAGTTTTTTGTACCAAGGTTTGTTGAATTAGCTGTTTGCACAACATCACTTTCAGTGACTGTGTAAGTATTTCATTTGGCAAACACCGCATGGATGGAGCAATGATTCAAGTTTTAGTTACGAATTGTTGCGAAAAAGAGAATGTAAACAAACAAACAAACTAAAGTTGAAAGACTTGCTCGGAAAAAAAAAATGTTATTGCACTTTACGCCAACCTAAAGATTAGATTTTAAAATAAACAGAAGAAGAACAACTACAACACCCAGAAAATCAACTGTAGGAATAGCGTTGATGAATTGCAGCCCAAAAAATATAAGCTAGATGAATATGGAAGACAGTCGAATTGAAATAAAACGAGGCGATGAAGTTTTATTTTAGATTCGCGCGCTCGAATCGACTTCCGTGTGAGCCGAGCAGTGGGAAGAAGAACGATTGAATGCTATCAATGTGTATTTCAGTGACTCGTGAAATAATCTTATCTGGCGTCAAGATGTCGTTTCATATTCATAACAATCAATTAGTAGTGCATTTGATATAATGACGTACATTGAAATTCAATCAAAGTTTCTCACCACGAAAACATATCGATTGTCAATGAACACTATACAGGGCTGCGTTAAGTGATTTATTATGCACCGGCATTTACCATTTTTATATGGGCATTGGAGTGGGTGTCAATCGAGATACACATGTTGATGAGCAATCATCCGACAACGTTTAATGGAGAGTTGTGCGGTAGCGCATTGCACGTGATGGCGCCGAAAACTTCCAGCAATATGACAAGTTGTCAGAGATATATGAATGGTTTGAAGCGAAAATGTAATACAGAAAAGTTGAGCGGAAAAATGTCAAATGAAAAGGGATAGCTATATAGTTCACTATAGTTTACTATACAGTTTACTATATAGTAGCTATCCGTTTTCCGCTCATTCATCATCGACATTTTCCCTGTGCCAGTCCAGCTGATGTCATTCATTCTAATTATAACAGACAGCTAGCATTTTTTATTAGATTTACTCTGTTTCATTCCTTATTCATTAAATTACGCACATTTTTGAAGTACATTCAACTCAACGACTATGTCTCTGCGTACAGTTTTGACATTTCAACAGTCAATCGGGGACGCCATTAAGAAAGTTCAATGCATAACAAAAGTAAGATAAACGGGTTTGATTCGATCGCTTCATCCGAAAAGTCTCCAATATTTTCCTTTTGACGGATGTTTTTCAAATAATCATATTTGAGGCGTAGTTTCTACATTGGAAATCGCTCTGACGAGAAGAATGCAACCAATTCCATTTTGATATCACTACTTTGTTGGGTATAACACAAAAGGCGGTTTTCGATTTTTCAAATTGTAGAATTTCAATTTCATTGCTATTCGACGTCGTTTGCTTTTGCTACAAAAAAAACTTCCTTGCCATCGTGTATCTATATATAGCACAGTCTTCAAAATTTTAGCAAACCAACTAAAAAAACACTACTTACTCAGATCTTTGAGTTAGTCCGAGTTGTCTTATTTCCACTTTTCGGTATCAATTTCTCTGTTTCACTGTTTCGATTGGTCTCGTTAAAAAAATTCCACCGAATCCAATCTGCTACGCATTCGGTAAAGAAAAAAAAAACGGAGAAAAAGCTGCAAAATTGATTGGCTCGTAAGGAATAAGTTGATTTGTGCTTCATATTGATTGAATACTTTGTGGCATCAAATCAAGAATGTTGGAATGTATTGCACGGACAACGATACCCTCGAAATAAGTGGGCAATTTCGGTATCAAATACACTTCATCTAGACTGAAATCAAAAGCAAGCGAGAGATAGAGACAAAGTGCTGACGAAGAACTAAAGTTGATTTTATTTGTTTCACATCTTTGAATTCAATCAATTTGAAATTTAAAATGGTTGAATCGAACCCGGAAAAGCAACACTTCACTGACATTTGCCATCTCATCATTTGAGCCAAGCCAAGCCAAGCCAAGCCAAGCCAAGCCATTCCAAATGGAAATGTCCACAAGCGTTGTTGGTTTTTGTGGTTTGGATTTGGGTCTGAACATGTACTTTTGCGCTTTTCTACCTTGTTCCAACGTTTCAATGCCTTTCAGTTTATTGGCGTCGACTCAAATCTCTGGTAGCAAAATGATTTTTTTTTTTCAAACTCTTTTTACATAGATTTCTCTTGTGGTTGTAATTCCAAAAATCATTTCCGCACAAAATATCGAAAATATATTTTTCTTTTGAGGAATTCCAATTTCGAATTCAGCTAATTTAGCAGAAGTTTATTCGGATACCAATTGATGTCGGACTGATGCTATTTTCATAATTTCCCACTCGCTGCTTAGTGCCGAAGTGGTAATTTACCATTGTTGAAGTACATAGCTGCCAGTGTTTTATTTTTTGGTAAAATTGTTACTATGCATTTCGATTGTGATGCTCAAATTCGAGCATATGTAATGCCTTACACCATATATACGAAATAGCTAAATCAAACAACCGATTGTTTAGAACCTAATTGAAAATCATGTGCACACATAGCCGACCGATTGTTTCTATGTTTAATATGCCACCAAAACCAAAAAATTGAACATGGATTCGATGAACGCACACTAACAAGACAACTGATGTTTTTATGGATAAACATAAACGACCAAATGATTGCAGTAAATTGAAAATATTGCTCAGTCCATCGTTCCAATGGTTATGTATAAAAATATGTGGAAAAATGTCGATCTAAACATTTCGAACATATATATGTACTCATTTAAATAGCTGAGAATAAAATTCAATTAATTTTACGATGTTTTCAATGGAAACTTGCACCATGAATTCCAACCGAGTTATAGTCTGTTTTGAAGCTGTACAAGTATGTGTGTGTGCGTATGTGCGTGTGTGTGTGTGTGTGTGTGTGTATATTGTACTTTTTGTGGTCGTTAAAAACAGAAGTACGCCTACGTAAGCGCACCGAATGTATCTAATGATGTCCTTGGTCGAATTTACACAAACCATTGTATTATCATCGGTTGATCGGCTTCAATGAAACCAATTGTGTTTATTCGATATGTGTTTTCTTCGATAATTGTTTACATATTCAAACAGTGGCATTTTGTTTATTTTTCATCTTCGTTCCGATTGTTTGAGGACTTTTTCGTAATTTTAGAACAAAAATAACAAACATTATTCAATTAGCTTACAAATTTTTATTGAAAAAAGCTTTCCTTGTTTAATTTTGCAATTTTTTTCGCTTAGTTTCTAACCTGAATTACGTCCATTGTATAATTCGGCAATAATAATTGCCCATGCAGTAAAAATATACGCGACCAGCGTGAAAAGTACACTCAAAATTGTTTTCCAAGCCGACTCATCACCATTATTTTAATCAGCAATTGAGTTTGTTGTTTACTTCATTCAATAGATGTACATTTCAAGTTGTTATTCTTGTTCATTTTATTGCCATTCATAAAATGATTAGCTATATTATTTAAAGTGTTTTATTTTTCGTGCAAATTGGACTAATTAAACATTAGATTTCCAAAAGTCTTTATTGGTCGAGATTTATTTGTTGAAATGAATGTGTTAGTTTGGCAGAATGCACAGCACAGCGCAGCTAAATTATATTTATTGGGCAAATTCGAAGGTTGATTCACATGTGTACGGAAAATGGTTTTTATGAAGTACGTATTTTTATCGACATTTTCACGAGTCAACGAATGTTTCTCTCTTTGTTCAATCTCCTCTGTTTACAGCAGTGTAGCTCCAATGCTAGTCAAAGTAAAAGAAATAGCTCACTTTTTTTTTATGCTGTTGTGAAGAAAGAATGCAGCAAATTAATTGCATCGTGTATTAAAAACTTTGTAAAAGTGTTTTATTCTTTCTTCGTTTTGCCACAACACAAACAATTTTCAACTTAGTTTTTGTAATTTTGATTGGAAAGCTGATTTCGATGGAAAAAAAAATCCTGAATTGTAGGAGGTCACGATGCGACCTGTTTACGTTACCCATTTAGATGAGTAAGTTTTTTTTTAATATTCCATGAACCACTGTGTTTGTTATGGTTACGTCGTTTCGCTGTATTGTGCGTGTATTGTTCGGCATTGCTTTCTCGTTCGCCTTTGTTTCGTGTGATTCTCATTTCGGTTATGCGTGTTCCGTTCCTTCTGAATGGCGCTTTGAGCCGCCCGTGCTATGTGATACAAGCACTAGAAGATGTATACTTATTGTACCTTTTCAATTACTTTTTGTTCTTTAACTATTATTATCGTTTGGTGGGTATTGTTATGAAGTTCCGATTTTGCTGGTTTTGTCGTTAAATATGCGCATGGATGTGATTTCTTGGACGACATTATCAAGGTGAAATGAGGTTTTGTACTTTATTCAATGCTATATTAGATCTTTTACTGTAATTATGAATATCCTTCTTTGTTCGATGTAAGAAATTTTCTTCGACCACAATAATAATCCTATTGATGAGATATAAAACAACGTAGGTTTGATTCAGCAATGTATATGATGTAACAATAAAGGGACGTATGTTTTCATTGCATCAATAATGTGGGAATATGTTTCATTCAAAAAATGTTTGTTGGTTTTTCGAGGTTAATCCTTTTTAAACACTTGAATTGGAAAGAACATTCTTTCTTTCCCATCTCACCAACACAATCATCCTTATACATCGTAAACTGTTCGTCGGTTTGTTGAAGAATTTTATTATGGCCAAGAATGAAGCTTAACGTTCAAGAGCTTATTTGTAAACACAAAATTGAAATTTCGTTTGAAAGCACCTTATTGTTTTTGCTATTGTAGCACAAAAGATACACAATTCTATTTATCTAAAGTGAATGCGTATTTCGAAACGCTCAACGGGCGTTCATCATCAGCACTGACACGACCATCGATTTTTGCCGGTGATTTGTGAGACGAAAAAACGACAACACATCAACTGAACGCAAAACAGCTGGATCAGCAACAACAAAACATTCGTCGCATCAAATCAATGCAAATAAGCAGGACTGTATTTCGATTTTGTGTTTACAAATAATAATAAGTGTTTTTGCATGTTCAGTTAAAATGTCATTCGTGATAAAAATTATTGTTTAAGAGCTTGTTTGTTTCTTCTCCTCATGTCTTCATATTCTTTTATCAGTGTACAGCTGATAGCTGCTTAATTTCGGGCGTGATCGTATTGCTTATTTATAAGGTTAATTGGAATTTATGGCTGTGTTGTTGGTCCACTTTATGAACCAATCACTTTGCATATTGCATTCGTTTATTCACTTTTCCCATTAGTATTTGACGTCTTCGCTCCTTTTCGGACACATTTTGTTTTTTGCGCGGTAAAGACACTTAGATGAATCTTGTATTCATTGGTGGACCTATTTTGATTTAGTCTTTCGCGTTGGATTAATTTCCGCAGTGCTACAAATTGACTTCCACAGGATGTTTGAGTTGGACTAAAGCTCATGTTGCGTGCAAAAAGTAGAACGACGTGTTTCGTTTATATTAAGCCATGAAAAAGAAACAAAGAAAGGAAAAGTGATAGTGTGCCATTTTCTCTACACAGTCAAATTAAATACGTATCGATGCGATAGTTATTTCTCAATTAGTTGCTATGGGATCAAAAAAAAAAAAAAAAAAAACGTAATTGTCGGCTGGGCAAACCGATCTTCGGTGAAATGGCTGGAATTACGAGATGGGATAATATTATCTCAATCGCTTATGCTTACGTGCTTGTCTTCATTTACTAATGAAATGTGCTAAATTATCCCTCCGACGAGGAAGTCGAATAAACGGATATAAAAAAGAAACCTCAAATTGTTGCCGAATGAAAATTCGGATCGATGTGCCGAGCTCAGTGGCGAAAAAGCAATGGCATGAACGAGTTAAATGAAAAGGAAATACAACGATATTCACTTAATTAAGATTCTTTGTACGCTGTATTTTCGTTAAACCATGTGGAGCATTTGCACATGAAATGTCCAAATTGTCTGTTCCTTTTTAAATAACATTAAACCATTGCATTAACATTTTCAGGTATTGTTCAGTTGTAACCATTTCTACTAATCCCTCTTTACATTCCTTCATCTCCATATCCAACCCACTGTGTCTCTGTTTCGCTCTCACCTTTCGCTTTATTCCCGTAGCTTTCATCGTTCATCTTGAGCGAGCCAAGTTTGCATTTTAATTTGAGCCCAATTCATACCAAAAGAACTACCTATACACACTAGCTATTCATTTATCAACATTACAAATGCAATTGAACGATGCTGCACACAATTCCAGGTACTTGATCATTTGCATACACGGCTACTCGGTTATCTGGCAAGTAAAGCCATTTGAAACATTAAGCGAATTCATAGTCACACGCATCCGAATCCGAATCAACCAGTAAACTGTATCACATACACTGTCACATATGCAAATTATGGATCAGCAGCAGTAGCAGCATACGGACAATCATGTTGCTGTTCGAGCAGCTGAAGTAGCAGAAGCGACGTTAATAAAAACACATTAAATATTCAAAATTATAATTTGTTTAATTAGTAAACAAGTTTTAGTTATTATTCGCGCACATGCGTTGTACGGATACCGAGAAATGTGTTCACAGCATTTAAGTGCAAACACACAGGCAATCACTGCGACGAACTATGTAATTACCCAGTAAAAGTATTCAATATTTATGTCACAAAGTTGCAATTTCTCTCTGCAGGAGAAAGAAAAAAAACGTTAATAAAATTATGCGAATAAATCATTCAAAGTGATGAAAAGGATTGATATAAAATGCTTTGGTAATTTGTACGGTTTTCCCTCTTCAGATAAACGTTGATTCTTCATCGATTTTATTGCATTATGGATGGAACAAAGTATTTCCTTGTTCCGAATATGAACCAACGCCAAAAAAGAAAAAAAAAATAGATCGATCTTTCAAAACTTCATTTTTAAATTGAAATGTGAATTGAATGCCTAATGCTACACGAAGATAGCATCAAAGCATGAAAAAGTGTATATGGAAGCGGTCATAATAATGCTAGAACCGAAAAATTGCGCGTGTCTTCATGCCATTCCAAGTAGCTTTGACTTTGGTTCCCTTCGTTTTTCTCGTTGTAACTGTTGAAACGCACCGTAAAAAAAAGTTTGAAATTAGTTTTGCACGAGCTCCACGTCCAAATCATTCATCAATTAAATTTGAAAGTACTTGTGATTTCATTCTCTCGCTTCCGATCTTTCCCTTTCTTTCTCTGCCGGAGATTCGGCGAATTCTGTACAAATCGCAATCGGATATTGTTTCAAATTAAAAGTTTCCGATCGAAACACAAAGCGCTACGGAAAAAATATATGCAAGCATACACTCACTCACTCACTCAGATGAAATGAACGATGTGAAGAGCGAACAAACCTTCATCGAATACCGCAGTACATGTTCGCTCTCTCTCTCTCTCTTTCTCTCTCTCTCTCTCTCTCTCTCTATCTCTCTCAATCAGTACTCGTTCAAGTTGAAAATGAAGTTCATTACTGACCGGGTTGAAAGCTGAGTTGTTGTGCTTTTGCTCTACAAAAACAGTGGCTTTGGTAAAAATTCTAATGTGAATTCTATGATTTCGTACTTGTGGTTTTGCCACTAGAAAAAGTTACTTTCGGAGTTCAAACTAAATTGCTTGTTATCTGAATTGGCAATTTCCCTTTCCGTTTGTCCCTCTCTCTCTCCCATTCGTTACCAATCTCCTTCACTTCGCAGCACTTCGTACGACAAGTATCGAAACGAGTTGTTCATTGAATCAGAATTAATCATCATATCGCTATCACTAAAAGCATATTTTCATCGTTGATAAACTGTAGCGTTAATGAAATACAATTAAATTTAACGAGAATTATAGCGCACAGTGAAAGCCACATCCTTCACACCCAACGGATCGGATCGGATCGTGAAATGCTTGAGTTGATGTTGGTCAAATGATATTGACGCCTGCAGCGAAATGAATGAATAAATTAATGGACGATAGTGTGCATTTCATGTTTTTTCAGTTGGCGGTGGTAGCGCCGCGCGGTTGAACGCTCTTTTTTCGCTCATTTTCTCCTCTGTTTTGTTGTTGTTGTTATGTTGAATATTGCGTTCTTGTGCAATAAATCGCTTGTTATCAAAACCATATATTGATCATCGATTGCTTTGTTAATTTAATTTGGTGTTTTTTTTTGTTGGTTGTCGATAAAATGTGATTACCTAGCAGCGACTCGTATTTCAATGCGACCTAGAATTTGATTTTAGTTTTCAAACGAATCGAATGATTGAAGAAATCGATACGGAACGATGCTAGCGGCATCATTTTTTTTGCCATAATGATTCAAGGCAAGCCGAGTCGAGCAGAAATGGATATCGATTGCCAATGAGAATATGATGGATTTGCATATCTCTGTTGGATGTCTTGTGCTCGTCGTTAGACATGCATCGTTGAGCATGATGTCCAGCTACACTGCTATGGTTGCCAATATGCTGACTCTGACATCGTCAAAAAAGAGTAATGAAATAATGAAATGTGAGAAAAACAGAAAAAATTCCAAATGAAAACTAATTTCAAATGTGAATGCTTCATTTGAAGCGAACCGTAGAACAGTGTCATCGACAACAGTGGAGGCAGCTGCAGCCGAACCTCTACCTCCACAAGCACCACCAACAACAGCAGTAGACTCGCCTTGTGGAATTGAAACCGTATGTAGTGCATATGGTACGTACTATGGAAGGTTGGCATCAGCCCGAAAGGTGGGAGCTACGGTGATGGGTATGAAAATTGTGGAATGCCAAATCACAAAACGGAACAAGCAACTGGAAAATTTAATTGATTTAAAATTACATTATTTACAACTCGGATGCGTGAGTGTGTGCGCGCTCGCGTGCACGTGTATATGTTCATGTGAGTGTGTGTGTGTGTGTGTGTGTGTGTGTTATGCCTGTCTTGCATACAGTGCTACACCGAGTGATTGTCATTGAATGGGAAATGAAATGCGAATGGTGCCTCGGGACGACACTCAACGGATAAGAAAAAGGCAGGAGCTGGAGAATGGGAATGTGAAAAAAAGAACGAAGAAAACGAAAGACATCGTAATCAAAATGGAATGAAAGAGCACTCGTTTGCTTGTAGATTTAAATTTGCCATATTATTTCGATAAAACCCGCTTTTATTCAATTACAATGCTGCAATTTTGCTGAGCACACGGAATCTCTGTGCTGTGTGGGTGAGTGAGTGTGAAGGAGAGAGGGAAGGAGAGAGAGTGAGAGGTAGATGGAGTGAGAGAAAAGGGGAGAAAGTGCTACACTTACTATATCCGCATTCAACTGTTTGCCGTGTGCTAGATCACCGTGTATATTATTATTGTCTCGTAATTGTGTAACTGTTAATTTTCATTTGTATCACAGAATTAATATAAATTGTCGACGAACGTGTCTTAAGCACCTTAAGCCTCTTCTAAATTCACGAAGCATGCCAGCACTGCCAAAACGCATACCAAATTTCATAGAATATGTAATAAAAATCAATTCGTGGCATTTTTAGTGACAGCAACAGTGTTGAATCAGTGTACAAACATAACGGAAAAATCCTCTCTGGTTCGGCATTCTTCTGTTGTGAAATTCACTTATGGGATGGGGATACCATTTGGTATGGATGTCATAATATGAGCACTATATTCAGCATAGTACATTGTTTCGCTACTGATGACTCACATCATTTGAACGGTATAATAAATGCGGTTTATAAATATAATCGTTGGGTTTTTTTTTTGTTCGAGCTCAAAGTTTCCATGCGGATGACCAGCAAGAAGGAAACATACAACGAATTTAATATAATGTGTGTGTGTGTGTATGTATGTCAGTGTCGTGGACTGCATATTAGTTACATATGCATAAAAATCCAATTGCAATGCCTCATGCGCAGCCTCAAAAGCTTCATAAAAATATCATTGTGCAGACAAAATGTGACTTCATCCCTTCACTTCAATTTGGCACTGTTGTTGAGTGTATATTTCTCCGTCCGACTGAATCCAACTGAAAACCATTTTGACATCATCAGTCGCAATAATACAAATGAAATGAAGGCATTAAGCGGTTAGCAGGCATTAAGCGGGAGATGAAACAGAAAAAAAAAATGCTGCATTCATTCAATTTTGAGCTGCTTTTGTTTCATAACATATTAAAAGCGCCTTATTTTGTTTTCATTTCCGCAACGATTGTGACAATATCTACATTTTCCATTGAATCGCGTTTTGTGTCCCGTTTTATGGAAAACTAAACCAAAAAAGATTAAAATTGTGTGCGAAAATCATTATTATAGAAATATTCCTAGCAACCAAAAATTTCCAATGAGTCTTACCAACCCGATTAAATTAGAACATCCACGGCCACGGTTAAGAACTTTGTTCGCTAGCTAAAGCTCTTCATGACAATCAAATAATTAGATTAAATAAGGTGGTAAAAGAAAAGAGGACCCACTTAGAAAAAAAACTTCGCCTTTTCTTTTTCCGCTTTTCAACCGTAAAATCACATCATCATCATTGCTATTATTCTCCTCCTAATAATTATAAAACCCGCATAATATCAGCCGCGTGTACGCACATTTTTTGCGAAACAATTCAAACGTATAAGTAATTAGTCAGTTGAGCTGAGCGCTTTCGGTTCTTTTTCTTCAAAATCCAAGTTCAATCTTTGAAACAATTTGAAATAAAAATGGACGACGGAAAAGAAGAATGATAAAAAAAAGGGTTCAAGGCTTTTTTTTCCGAATGCTGCTCGTCGTAATGTCTTAATCCTGTCACCATCCTCGTCACAAGATAATCAATTCGAGGATTTTTCCCCAAAGACTTTTCGTTGACGCTTCTTTTTCCCCAGATTTATTCCATTTTGGCATATCAAATGCAAGTTTCTAGATTCGTTTATTCCTTTCTTTTTTTTTGTCGTTCAACACACTTCACACTTCAGACGATACTTTTCAAATTGATTAAACAGCAAAAGTGTCGGAAAAGCTTTTCTTTGCATACAATCACAGACAGACTGTATTCTGCCTAAATTCACAGACAGTTTGTGTCGACTCATTGACGTGGACCACAATTTCCAAATGGTTAAATTACGTTTTTATGCCTAGCAGTTGATTTGGTTTTTTTTTTTGACAAACGATTCGATTGAATTTTTCAATTGAATGCATTTTATGAATGATTCAAATTACTGTCAGTTTGTAATTAAAATTGCAAAAATTCCGATTCCAAAATACAGAGCAGGTAGACAAAAGGAATAATGTGTGTATCTGGTGAATGCAAACAAAAATATTCAATGTATGTCTAAACACAGACTAGTTCTTAAATTTAATATGTACATCCAACCATCATTGTGGTCGGATGGTCATATTGTTTTCACAAAAGCGTTCAGCTTTACGGTTTGCATGATATAGACATTTTCAAAATTGAATTGCTCATCAGCAACTATGCCATTTAGTTGTAGATGGGGATAATGTAAAAAAAGTCCGTTTTGAATTCATTGTCCAGCCAGGCGGACAAACCAACTTCATAGGATGGCACCGACACAAACGCGCACACACACACACACACACACACACACACACACACACACACGTGCGCATGCTTTTGTTACACTTATCTCAAGTCCCATGCTCATCAGTGCTCCACAGAATTTGACAATCTTTTCAATCGACCATATCTTTTATTTACATTAATCGCATAAACCATCCACTTAATGATGACCATCGCAACAAGATAAGCCCTAAAATGATGGAAATGGTGCTCGTTTATGGCATCAAAAATGAGCCACTTCAAAATATTATCTATTCGCTTGGTTGGTAGGTATTTTTTTGTTGTTGTTTAGTAGTTCAAATGACGAATGGCTCGTTTTCCGTCCGCAAATTGTATTTTCAGAGTGTGATTTTAAATTGGGTGGAGGGTGGCACTTGGGCACACACACACACACACACACACACACACAAATAGAAAACAAATTCTAATTAAAACCCCAAAAAAGAGAATAATTCATTTGGTTTATTCGAGTACACACAGATAAAATGCGAGAAAAAGAGCCAAGCGAGCAAAAAAAAAAACAGTAAACGTATTTGCTATAGCGATATTTTCTCGAAGGGACAGAGAAAGGTACGAGGAAATAATCCAAATCACATATGATTTTTGAGGAGAGAATTCCAACTGCTTTAGTTCGAAATTTATGGCAATGGTTTTGATTGTGGATATAATTATGATTGTAGTAACGATAAGCGCGAAAATAATTGAAGTGGTTTTTCAGCACAAGCAATCGCATTAAGAGTGGCTAAACAGTGTTTGATAGTAAACACTTTGTACTTTTCCGCTCTTTCTCTTCTTCTTATTCTCTTCTGTATCCATGGCTTATACTTTTGGAAATGTCTTATCTCGCAAAAACCATAAAATCACAATGAACGCGCTAGATTTGGCCATGGCATCGTTGGGCTAGGATAGCAGGCAACTATATACACACATATCAGTGTGCATCACATGAATATGTGAACAAGCAGTGTGAATAAAATGAACGACAAGACGACGAAACATGTAAATCGCTTTGCAGAGGTAAATGTCCATGTTTGTTGCTTGGTGTGCCTTTGTCTCCCATTCTCGAGATTCTATTGTAGCCACTGAAAATTCATAACTTTATTTTTGGGCACACATGCATGGAATTTACTCATTTATAGTGGAACATCAAACATATAGAGAATTCAGAAATGTTTCGGAATTTACTCGTAGCCACACACACACACACACACACACACACACACACACACAACGAGTGCCTGATGCATGCTTGTGCAGTGTTTGGTCAGACGAAGACACACTTATCTTTTCCTTAATTTGTTTAAGTGAATCGGATAAAGGGCTAGTATGGTAGCCAGCAATGCGTATGTACAGGTGTGCCGGTGTACACAGCACATAATAATAATAAATCTGTCCAAGAACACTCTATGACAAATAACGGATGTTACACATTTTGAATGTTACACATTTTGTTCTCTCTTTTTTTCGAATGTTTTTTTTTTCTCATTTCTTCATCCGATTGAGATACGTTTCACAAATGTGCTGAAGCGATTTGGGCACATAACTTTACTGCAAAGCTTTGAATTGTTCCGAGTGCACAAGAAGTCACCGATGAAGAACTATTCAATGACAAATGTTTTTAAAGTTATAACTTAATAAGAACATACTGACTGCCATGCTGTTCACAAACCTTCTTTCAGCAAACAAAAAAGGGTTCACCGTCGAAAAGAAAATTGATTCAATTCAAAACAAAGATTGAGTTAATTCACATATTGATTGAAAACAGACAGAGAATAATTGCACTTTAAATTGGAAAATTCAGATCGTTTTTTTTAACAAGAGATAAGGTTCTATTTGTTTGTTATTTTTTAGTGCCTGGAAACTAGAGCTAGGACTTGTCTCCAGAAATGTATTATGAGAAAAAAGTGCCCATTGCACCTATCACTACATTCACATTCGAATGGAATGCTTCGTCTTAAGCAGCTAACACAGTAGATTCGTTTCGTTTCACACAATGGATGATAATCTAATGCGATTTGTTGCTTTTATCAGCTGTTAGTTCATCAAAATTTCAAAGCACTCACGAAATCACAAATAATATGCGGTACGTGTGAAGCCAATGCCAGAAAATGAAAATGACGGAAATGTATCTATCACCAGCGCGATTGGGTCGGAAACAACAAACTAATTTATCAAAACTGACACATCATCACAGAATGGATGCAATTAATTCATAATTATCATAAAACAATTGTTGGACATAAGTTTCGATAAACATTTCGATCAGTTTGAAAGGCTAAAAAACAAGGTTCGCTTCATAACTAGCACATATGATTTTCGACCATACTATGGTTTGATCAAAGTTTTTCTACACTTCTTTTTACACACCGTATCCCACTTGCATTTAGTTTCCATTACATTAGATACACTCTGACCGTTGAAATCCAATGGAAGTGGAGAATAGTTGAAAGCTGCCGCTTATTCTTTCATTCTTGTTTTTGTCGATCCAATTTTTTTTTTTTTGTGAGCATCTTTAGATGGTTGAAACACATTCATAAGGTTTAAAGGAACTAAGTCCATTCAAAAAATGTAATGCGTTTCACCTTCGTGTAAATTGTCTATTTTATACCACAGCAGTAGTCTCTAACTGACGCAAAACATGCAATTTATCTGATTATTGCATCGATTTATTTCGTCTGGATGATTCGAACATGCACTAACTCTCCAGACCTATTCGCAGGTAGACATCGACTGTTTCGCCTAGAAAGCTCGACTGTTGACCAATTGCGATGAATCTTAGCGTTCATTTGGAATATTTTCTGCATAATTACTACGATTTCATAGTTTCTCATGTGGAAAATATGCATGCAAAATGTTATAATGCATATGAACATTGTCTGATTACCATCATTATTAGTCGATCAAGTAGAACGGTAAAAGATGATAATTTCTTGAATCAAGAAATTCTCGATCGAATGAATAGCGTTGCCATGGATTTGGGTAAAACCGAAACTTTAAACTTTCCGAAAATCAAGGCTTATATGCATGTATTGCATCGAAAACTCTGAATGTGGAACAAAACTTGGTTGCCAACGCTTAGTCTATTCTCAATCAATGAGAATTTCTAACAATTGCATAAATTGTGTTGGAATTCCCATGCCTAAGATTATGACTTAATCAAATTTCCAATATACATTACATTATAATACATTATCATTGCCTCTTGTCAATCGCAATTCCGAATCGATGCACTTCCAGTGTGCCACTTCATATGATGGCGTGAAATTGTGTGCAAACAATTCGCGTGGTAACGATTTGATTAACGTAAATTCGACCAACATTCTACTGATTCATATAGCCAAACTCGAATCCATTATAAATCATATTAATCACACATACGAGCCATAAATCTTACTGATCTACTTAAGTTGTGTGCTCATAAAATAGCAGAAACAATTCCGAGGAAATTTTCTTCAGTTTGTCATGCAACAACAAAATTGTTTTCTTTATATTCACTCTGCAAAGAGTTATCAACGGAGTACGAAATTTTCAATTGGTTGTGATTTTTGTGTGCATTTTTTTTTTCTCGATTTTTTTCTTTGTTTGAATTATTTTAAATTCTTGGAAATAATATGATAAATGAGAAAGGTGATTAAGAACATGGCAACAATGTAATAATTAAAATGAATCAATTGTTCTCGAAATGTGCGCACGGGAGAAAAATTGCAAATAACTGCATAATAGTACAAAATGCCACTGCAAAATGCGGACCAGAAAAATAATGCAAAGCCATCAAATGTTCTTGTGCAATGTGAAAATGGAATCATTTGTCATCCACTCGCGACATAATTGTGCACTGCGTTTTTTTTTCTTTCTTTCTTGACGCAATTTATAAAATGAATGTAGTACTTGTGTGTGTGTGTGTGTTCAAATGCACTCCGTTGTTGAAATCAACTCGATTTTTTTTTTTTGCTCCTCTCGCCATTATTTTATACTGTGAACAGTGTGAATTCTACCACATAATGGACATCGTTATATTCCAAACGACGGGATTGCTGCACTACATTCCAATTGTGTTTCCATTTAAATCTTAACGCAAAACATAATTTCCAACATGAACTCTCCAAAGAAAATAGCATTAGCCTTCTTTTATTCTATGGCATTGTGAATGATATATCCATCGTTATTAAGGACTATCAACAGAAAGGAACACAACTTGTGCAACAAAAAAATGGTATAACAAAAAAAAAAGACGTACAACGATAACGTTTTCCATATTCAGAACAATGATAACGCATTTTTTTGCATGTTTAAATTCAACCGCAAATGATTTTCGACGGAGGAGGAAATTCGTTTTTTTTGTCTTTTACAATAATTTTTATGACATTTGTTTTGTTCCCTTTTTTTCCTTCTTCCCCGGAATTCGTTTGAGATTATTCATTAGGTTTGTTTGTTTTGATCATTTTATACTGAAATAATCACAAAGGTTATCTAATTGAATTGTGTGTGTGTGTATGTTTTGTTTACAACATGGTTTTATGTATAGTTTAAACGCGATTGAAAGTCCGGGCTTTCATATCCCCTCATTCCGATTGCATTCAATGTTACGATGATTAGAACAACTGATTGCACAAAACGCGTTTGCGAATATTACAAGCATCTGTATAGAAGGATTAAAAGCAAATTACTTACCTCTTCCAGGCATTTCTGTCCAATGGCCTTTGGATCGCATTGAATGCCAAATGTGGTACCGTTGGGTAAATTAACTAAACACAACATTTTGTTTGTTGACTTCATTGTACTGCCGAAAATGATTCAAATGTGGTTCAATCACAATTAATATAATAACACTTCACTGTTGGCCTCGAAATTCATCTATACCGAAATTCGAGTCTCTCAATATTTTTTTTTTCTGTTCATAAATTGATTTGTTGAAAGAAAGAAAGAAAAAAAAACGTTTCTTTGGTTTGAAATTTTGCGTTTTTTATGTTAATCTATTTCGTTTCACTTCAGTCCACGTTTATTTCTTCTTCTTCACTTCAAGCACATTTAAAAAAAAATAAATAAATATTCAATTTTTTTTTGTGTAATTGTAAAAAAACGCACACAGTATGTATTCACTGATAAACCAGTTGTGGTCCTATTTACCGAACATGAAACTCAATCTTGTTCCATCAAATTTGCATTTAAATTCTGATTGTCGAATAAATATTTTTGTCTTCTTTGCTTCTCTTTTCATTCGAATTTCGAATATTCCGATTAAAAGAAACGATCGTGTTTCTCGTCTTTTTCTTCAGAGCGACCTCGCGAAGCACGACGCAATATTTACTTTCTATGGCCACTTTAAAACATATGGGCGCGAGAAGTTATCATTTCGTAGCACTTAACCGTGCGTTTTGTTATATTCCAGATGCTAATTCGAATTTAGTTGTTGTTTGTCTTTAAAACTGTTTCTTCCGTTCGAATGATGATTGCCGTACTCAGTCTCTCTCTCTCTGCGTCGTAAATATGAGCGTGCGGCGGCGTCGAAAGTCAAACATAACATAGCATGATGGCACTTGGCGAACGAATGTTAATGCCAGCAAAATGTGAAGACTATCAACGGTTTCGCTAACTTGTTGAGGAGGAAATGTCTTTGAGTATATTCAAACGCATGCACACACTAGCTCACTCAAACACAGGCACACACACACACACACACACACACGGAGCACAATACATACACACGAAATTGGCGGTGCATCAGACAGTGTGCGGTGTAGCGGTGTTGGATGTTAGACTTTGCTCGTTCACGTGTGAGCTCATGTTTTTAAACAACAATTAATAATAACTCGATTGGTCTGCTGTTGGTTGCTACCTCAAAATTCGTAGTGTGAAGTGAGTAGAAACTGCAAAGCACAACTGACGGCTGTTTTTATTGTTTTTTTTTTTCTCTTTTCTTGGACGAAAATCGCAAAATGGAATGTTGAAGCGATAATCAGAATATTTGCACATCAATTATTGAAATTCAGTGGATATTCTACCAAAACTATAAACTCCAAACTAAACACTGTTCGCATACTAAAATTCACTCTTACAATGTTTCAATCGTACTCAGCAATGAATTTAAATTGTTTGGTTAGTGTTTTTTTTCTCTCTCTCTCTATCTTCGTCTCTGTCCTTCTTTGTTTCTTCAATTGAACGACATTTATTTTCGATCACACCTTGAGCAGTCTCGCTCTTCGTCTCTGTCTCACTGTTTCACTTTGTCGAACACTATTGCATTCTTGAGCACTTTGCAAGCATACGAAATATTGTCAACTTGTTGGTTGTTTTTTATTTTCGTTTTGCCTTTGAATAGGTCGCCAATGCGCGCCAACACTCTGTCACCACACCGCACGATCAACACTTGGGCACAAAATGTTTGCTTTAGGTTAAATTGTTTGCACTTTTACAGACAGAAAGCAGAAAGAGAAGAAAAAAACATAATAAAAATCCTTTGTCTGATCGCAAGACTTGATCACTTTTCGGACGAGTTGGTAGGTTGAATTTGTAACAAATAATCAAAACAGAACTGAATGATCGGTCAAATCAAAACAATGAACACGTGAATAGGGAAAAAAACTCCAAAAGTTTTTTTCGTCTTTTATTTCTTTTTCAAAAATTTGATTTTGCTTCATCAAGCAAACTCACAAAAACTATCGTTTACAGTAAATCAATCGAAATCCAGCACAAACGTGCTGATATTGTTTCATATTTGTCGCTGTTGAATTTGCTATCGTTAAGCAAGAACGATGTATCGTTACGTCCATACTCACTTACGTTTAGCGCGAGAATGAAATGCCGAATCGGAGAAGCGTTTATTTTGGTGTGTTGCGGCTACACGATGACGATGACGACGACAGCGACGGCGACGACTACGACAACAGCAGCAGCAGCAACAACACCGCCACGGCAATGCACATCGGTGTGTAGATTCGTATGGAGACCGAGCACGATAACATGTGAACGGCAAACTAGACGAACGCTGTATCTTTAGGTCAATCGACTAATTTGGATCCAAACTACCAACACATAACTATTGCTTGGCTTGGCTTTGTATTGAACTTGTCATTTGAATGTATTTCGTTGTGTATCCTCTGATTTTTCATCTACACAACAGCAAAACTACCATTCAATGTGTGCGACACTAAAGATATATTTGTTTGTGTGTAAGTGTCTGAGCAATACGCGTATTTCTGTAGCGAGGTAGTTGTGTGCCGAATTCAATACAACCGGAGTACTACAAACACGCGACCGTCACATTGCCTCAACGGATGAGAATTTGCTTAAGTAAATCTTGCATATTATTATTATTATTCCGCTCGAAATACACACAGCAATGTGTTGATAGTGGATTCATAGCTCACCTAAAAACTAAGCTGAAATGTGTACAACTTGAATCGCCGCAACAATGTCTTCATATTCATTGTTACAATCAAGTCGGAATATTTCAATTGTTGATTTTAGGCTGCATATATTAGGTATTTTGTTTATTCCTGTCGGTGTTAAGTAAACAGTCTCAACGCACCAAGCTCATGCATATTAAGGAATTACGAATGAAAAACAAAAACAGGTATTGCTTGGCTTAGTGATGTGCCGTTAACTACAGTTGTGTGTGCCTCATTTTGCACAGACACACCGAAATTATTGTTGACCATTTGCATATAAGCGTTTTAATTAAATTCCCTAGTCTATTTTCCATTTCAATTTTGTTGGTTTACTTAATATGGTTTGCCACCTCTTTCAAACCGCCAAACAAATGCATTTGCAATTCCCCTTTAGCTGCCTGTCATTCACTTCCATTCACAAGCACAACTCAGGATATTAAGAACATATCATCAACGTTCGTCACGTTTCGTGCCAACGAAAATATTTCATTGGCCTTTTCTGTTTATTTTATGGTTGTGTGTATGGAACCAACCAATGCACCAAATGCCTTCGTCATCTGATCAACAATATGCAATGTGCAAACAAAAACAACTCTCCGTTTTGTGGGGAAATCTATATCAACTGGAAATTGAAACAGTCAGCGCCATCGTTTGAAAGAGAAACCAAATATAAAGTGAAAATAATATCGAAATCTGTATCAACTGTTGAGATTTGACATTCACTGCCATCATCCGAAAAAATATAAACCGTGATGGGCGATGCTATTAAGCTCAACACAATTATCAAAGGTTTCGACCATTTACAAATGGTTTCATCGAAATGATGATATTTATAATTGATTAACTAGTCATGTCTGCAATCGTTTGAATTATCAAATAAACGACTTTTAAAGACAATATCCTGGAGAATCGCATTGAATTTATAGATATTATTGCAGATGAAATCGATGAATGAGAAATGTCAGACACTTTTTCAGTCACAGGATCAGTCATTTGCGGAAGAAAAGATTTCGTCACTGATTTCAATTAGAAGCAAGGGAACGATGTAACAAGTAAAACTTAGAAATATCTTTAAAAAAAAAAGAAGTAGAAAATAAACTCAAATTTTTGTTGTTAGTTTTTTTTTCATATTTATTTTTGCATCTTGCATCATTTCTCAAATAAATTAATACAAATGGTCATATCAAAAAAAAAATGTTCCATTGCAAAAGTTATGTTTATCTTAAACGGTATATCGATTATGTTATTTTATGTTGGTTTTTTCTTTTTTTGGTACATTAAAATTTCAGAATTGTTTTGATCCATTCATCCAAATGACAAACGAATATCGTTGTGTTCATACAGTTGAATGAGGACAATATTGGTACATATTACTCAATCCGCATGTAAAGTCAATTTGCACACTGCATCGAGTCAAATTTGTATCTACTTACAAAAAAGGTTGAAATATTCAAAATATTTGTTAAAAAATGGGATAAATTATTTTTGAGCGTTGTAGTTAGAAAGACAGTTGATCGACCTAACTCGCTGATGATCCTTATACCGAATGTTCAGCGTTCAGACGCAAAACGAAGGAACATTCGAATTCAATCTCAAATCTCATTTAAAAGAGATTCTTCTTTTTTTCTATCTCAAAGTTGACAAAGAACAACCGACCAAAACAGAGTAATACACTTATGCTAACAATTTTGGTATTTAGATTAATGATATTTGCATTTGACTTGACGAATGTGGTCGGCTTTGTTTGATGTCGATGCAGAGAATATTTACACTTTTTGTTGTTAGTAACTAAAAATGCTCATTTTGTGACACAATAACATGTCATTTGTGTTGTTATTCTTCTTATAAATTATTTTCTAAGTGTTAAATTTAGACCAAAATTAAATATTAATTTACTACTTGATTTGAACGGTATAAATTATCATAGAAATGAACTCAATTTCATAAATCATTTTGTAAAATTGGTTAAATAATGCAAATAGAATTGGAAATTAGAATTTTGGATTGAATGATTCCTTTGATTTGTCTACATTTAAAATGAAAAAGAAAAGCTTAAACATTTCGATGTTGAGTTCTGAATGTGGGTTTCAAATTTTGGTTTCCAATATTCTAAATGATGATGATAGTTGATGCGGGCGTCCAGCCGTTTTTTTTTTTCTCATTTTATTTCTTAATTAAAATTGTGATACTTACAATACTGTTTGGATGATTTATTGGACGATGCAAGAATCATGTGGCGATTTTTGTAAATGTCACTGTTACACTGTGAGTGAATTGACATACGATCAATGTTGTTCAAGCATTCATCGGAGCTGTTAACCGCCACATTTGCATCGGATTTTGATATTATATTATTGCTTAGGTTTGACTGTGATTTAGCCACATTTTTCATTGGCATCGATTGCCGGGCTGATTGATTGTTTATTTGTTGGAGTTTTTGTTGTTTCTGCTGCTTCGAATGCCCTTGTGGCTTTGGGTTTGTGTTATAAAATTGACGTGTTCCCATTTCTCGGTAACTTTTATTGTTGCTCTCCCGGTCCAACGAATGATGATGTGATTTGTTGTTTTGATTTTCGGACGTGGTGTTGTACGATGAAATTGAGGTATGCGTTCGATGCGGTGAATGCGATGATGAAATGGATGAATTCCGGCCGTCATGTTCAGCTATGGTACGGTTGTGCTCTGATATATTGTCGCCGTTGCAACCATTTATCATTCCAACGATGTGTTGATTGGACGATGATGGTGTCATTGCATTGATTCGCATCGTAGAACCCTTCCTGCTTGGGCCATTCGATAATGCATCACCTTGTTCATCTTCTACGAGGAAAGGGAAAAGAAAATGATATTTTTTGAATTAACTCCAAATAATAATTTTAACTACTAAATTACGTACTTCGCTTTTGATTCTGATACCAAATCTTCAATCGATGGCCAATTTCAGCAAATAATGGACGGCGAACGGCTTGTTCGTGCCAACATTCGACCATGAGCGAATAGACTGCACTTGGGCATGTATCAGGACACGGTAATAGTTGCCGTGATCTCACCATATTAATCACCTCTTGGTTACTGTATCCGTAGTAGGGCTGAAAATTGAAAATAAATCAATTTAAAACTAATTCTGATTTTGATAATTGTGAATGTTTCATGTGGCCGACGAATGCAAATACCTGCAATCCATAGCTGTAAATTTCCCACAAGACCACACCATATGACCAAACATCGCTTTCAGTTGTAAACTTTCCGTACAAAATCGACTCGGATGGCATCCAACGTACAGGTAGCAGAGATTTTGATTGAACGCGATAGTAGTCAGAGCTATAAATGTCACGTGAAAGACCAAAATCGGAAATTTTCACCGTCAAATTATCACCAACGAGACAATTACGGGCCGCCAAATCCCGGTGCACATAGTGATGACTGGCAAGATACTCCATACCATCACAAATCTGTAGACTAATGTGCAAAAATTGTGTTTGGCTCAATGAGCCCATACAATCTTCACTGGGCGCATGCGAGATGAGGAATTCGTGTAAATCACCTTGGGCCATATATTCAAAGAGCATACACAATGGTTCTTCCTTCAAAACAACGCCCAAAATGCAAACGATGTTGTCATGCTTCAAATCGGAAATGAGATCAATTTCTCGACGGAAGTCGGCTTGTGTCTTGGCTGATGCATTTTCCTTGAGGGCTTTTACAGCAACGTAAATACGTTCACCATTCGATTGTGTCAATTCACCCTTGTAAACTTTACCAAATGCCCCTTCGCCCAGCTCTTCAACAAACCGAACGTGATGCAACATGTACTGACGAACACGCAACGCTGAACCTCTTGAGCCGTTTCTGCATCCACCACCGCCACTACCACCACCGCCGCCGCCTCCACCGCCACCATCACTGGTGGTGCACAGGCTGGTCGTATCGTCATTGCCTGTATCGGAGCTTTTTATGCTACCACAAATTGAGCCACCGCCATTGGTTTGACTGGGGCATTTGTACAAGCTAAATGAATTATTGCGATGCGATGAGTATGAATGTTGTTGTTTTGATGGTTGCGGTTTGCCATTCGGCAAAGATGCAACATGTTGTTGGTTTTGAATCGATGTTATCGTCGCATTTGATTCATGATTGGTATTGACATTTTCCTGTTGATTCCCACCAACCGTAAGCAGTGATGTCATTTCTATCGGTGAATTTAGTCGAGAATTGCCATAAATATTTTTACCAGTGCCCGAAACATTGATCTGTTGATAGTGAACAATAAACAAAAATGGAAAGGAAGACATTAATTTGGGAAAATCATGCGTTTTCTGTTGTTGTTGTTGTTGTTGTTGTTGCAATGACATACATTGTGTATATTGGAGATTCCCTCGCGTGAATCGTTCTTTCGGAATTTACGACAACAAACTATGGACACGGTGAGCATTAGCAGCAATAAGAATGATATGAACGGTGCTATCACGTACAACCACATTTTGTCCGAACACCTTGGAATGTCACACATCTCGATCACCTTTTCCACCGATGAATTTATGACAATGTCAACGAAACACCACGGCCCTGACTGTGTTCCTCCCGGATTTCTAAACAGCAGAAAATGTGTGGAATTTTTGAAAAAAAAAAAAAAAAGAACAGAAATGAGTATTTTCTTAATTTTAATAAATTGCACCATATAATGTAATCACTCATATGATGCATTACATTGTAATATTATAAATTTATCCACCTGCAATAGTTTGTGCCGGCCAATTCGGGATAATCTGCAATTTCTTTCATCAATCGAACCCAAGTCAAGCACGGTTTTCCTGATTTGGAAACGGCAATTTTCCCTCGATATTTCGAACCATTCTCCCAATAGCAGTCCTCATTTTCATCTACATCAATTGCAATACCTAGACTTGAGCAGTCATTCAACTCTTCGGGAAGATTTGAACAATCTTCAATCGGCAGAACTTGTCCAATTGCCGGATGGCGTTTTGCAATCGCATATTCCTTTCGACATAAGCAAAATAGAAAGAAAATGACGAAGATTTTAGATTTTTCTATTCAAAATTTCATTCGTGTTGTTTCGATTTTAAACCGATCCGGTTTGATTACACGTATAATCATAATAATTATTTACTACACACAAACTACAATTCAACTCACCTTTTGACACAATTCATTTTCGAGCAGCTCGCATTCGTTGCGACATATACGTTTCAAATTGGATGTTGAACGAGCTGGCGGATAGTTTGAATCCGGTGAATAAATCATTGAATGTGATATTGGCATCGCTTGTCTCAGGTGGCGAAATTTTTCGGCCACATTTGCAAAATTGATGTGTTCATCCCAGAATTCGCCCAAAAATCGTCGACTCCGTTGTGACTTTCCATCAAAATCGTCAGTGTCAGCATCTTTGGATGGTGAATGAATCGCAGTTTCAACTGGAGTTTGTTGTTGTTGTTGTTGTGATGAATGCTTTTTACTCTTTCGATCACGTGCTTTATTTGACTTTTTGGTTTTCTGTGATTTTGTCGGAAAATCTATTTGATCGATATGTTTTTCCTGAGTAATTTCAGCGTATGACTCGCTGGTACTTTTGGTTCCTTGAGTGGACGCTTTTGTTGATGTAATCATCGTAGTTTCTGGGATTGGAGTTGTTGTCGTCGTCGTCGTTGTTGTCGTTGTCGTCGCCATCGTTGTTGTGGTTGTGGTTGTCGTTGTCGTTGTGGCGACACTAGTTGTAGCCAAAGCAGCAGCTGCCAACTCTAGCTTACGAAGTCTTTCTTTCTCCTTTTGCAGAGCAATATTCCGAAAGTATTGGTGGTTCGTCTTCTCAGGTGTTCGACAAATCGGCAACACGCTATAACACAAACTGGGCAACGCAAATCCACGACAGTTTACATTCATATCTTTTGACTCTTTGATAACACCATAATAGGCCACCTTTAAATTATCTTCCAAACTCTCTAAAGTCAAATGCGGTGGCACAAAAACCGTTTGATTTTTTAGAAAAGCCTCACATGTTGTACCCGTGTACAATTGGCATATACCTTTTGGTAACTGGAAGGTCGGAAAATCATCGTTATTCATGTGAATATGGAGGGAAAAAAAAACAGCAAAAAAAAAAAGACGAACACAAAACTAACCGTTGTTTGATAATAATCATCTGAAGTGAATGGCATAATAACTGGTTGAACGTTCATTGAATTTCTCTTTTGCATACGATTTTCCGGGCTCGCCGCCATTTGATCGTATTGAAAGTTTCTATTCGCAAAAAACAGAAGCAAAAAAATAAATAAAAGAAATTCCAATAAAAATGTTGTAGTTCAGAAACTTTCGCTGCAATAATAATAATGCTGGAGAAAAAAAATGAAACTTTTGTAATTAACACTTACGAGTCAGCAGTACCGCTGTGATCCTGTGGGTGAAAATTGAATAATAAATGTACAATTAGTATGTCGTAATTATTCAATTAATTAGATAAAATCGTTTTATTAAGGTTCTATTAATTTTGAATTCGTGTAAAACTGTTGATTGAATGTGTTTCGAAAAAAAAAAAAAAATAATTCGATCATTATTAACGACAGACCGCGATGAGTTTGTGGACGGTTTAACAATGAACGATAGGCTTCATTTCCAGTAAATTGCCCGATAGCAATCATTGAAAAAAAGAGAAACTTTATTGCCCGCATTTTTAGGTTTTTTTTTTCTCACTGCATTGCCTCAACACGTTTTCGATCGATTTTCAATGGAAAAACTATTTCAAAAACCAATTAATAGAGGAAAAAAGAGAAAAGAAAACAGCATTTACCAGTAACAAATGGGATTCAGCATCGTTGAAACAATGCACATGATTCAAATGCAGGAATATTGCAACGAATATGAGCTTGTGGAGACTAGCAATTGCCGCAATCATTATCGACACAATAGAATGTAGCGTAAATGAACATGGAATTCGGAATAAAACCGCACAATACGCGATAGAAACAGGATAAAAAAACACACATACACAAACACACACGAACACTCTGTGTATCGAACACTTGATTGGTTTTGGTTCTGTTTTTTTTTTTTTTGAAATAGCTCTTATATTTACACGCTTATTGAATTAATTTTTTTTTTGTTCTGTTACAACTGTTGACAATGAGATTGAAAAAAAATCCGTAGAATTTCCATGGAATTTAAATGTGTATCCGAATGAATCGAAACTCGACCCGCAACGTTTCAGCACAGTGAAGCATCAACAGTTAAAAAAAAAACCATCAGTATTTTGTCGCGAATGTGTATGTGTCGTCGATGCACGATATATGCATATAATTTGAAAAGTAATTTATTTAATAATGAAATCCAAATATTTTATTCTCAAAATCCAATTAATCTACAACGACATGGCTATTATCACTGCAAAACTGGATGAAAAAAAAAATCCATCCAACCAAACAGGCTTTTGAGCGATTTTTTTTTCTCTCGCTGTTACCAATCCAATATCCACATAATTTGCATAAAATCATACGGCTTTATGTAGGTTTATTCAGCAGGCAAATATGGTTTGTTTTGGGGTTCAATTGCCTTTTCCGCAGAAATATTTATTCGCTTTACGCTACACGCTAAATGTACGGTACTGCACTTGCACAATATTAGCAAAGCGGTAAAAACAAAACCGAAACCATTCACATCACCTTCAATGAGCTTTCGAAATGGTTGGAACAAAACGGCACACACAGCCTAAACACCAAGAGTTGAATGCAAGAGAGTAAACGAAACTAGTGGCAAAAGTATAATATCCACTATCCACTTCATGCGTACAAAGCACGAACAATAAATAGAGTCATCCAAATGAGACTTAATCCATTATGTGTACGGCTTTTTTTCTGTCCTTGTTCCTTGATCCTCTCTCTCTCTATATATATATATATATTCGGGTTGGTTGTGCGTTTTTTTCTCTGCCTTCGTCAGTTGTGTATTCCTCTTACGCTTCGTTCGCTGCTGTGTACACTGTGAACGTTTAATTCGTTGTTATTGTTGTCACTATGTTACTGTTCATCGGCTCTCTCTCACTCGGTACATCTATACAATCGGCAGTCGTCACCGCGTTCGCGCGCTTGTATTCGGCGTGTGTGCGAAAAATTAAGTTGTCCAAATGGTACAAATGATCTAATGTGTACAGTATGTGTATATGCACAGTGTCAATGTCGCATTCGTATGCCAGTTAGAAGCAGCAGGAAACCAAGCAACATTTGTAGTTTATATTCAAATTATTGTTTGTATGGTGCTGGGCCTATGCCGATGTTCCTGCGTTACTGTTCTCCGTTCCTCGAAAACATACAGAACAAAACCGGGAAAAAACCAACTTTTAAACAATGTCAAATACTCGCACTTGCATCACACTTCAAATCCGCCTAATAAAATTCAAATAAAAAACGACTGTGAATTCGAATGAATATTTTAGCAAAGTTTGTTTTGATGCTATGCAAAAACTGTCTTCTTGCACTGTTGTCTACTTTGTGTGTAAATAACGATGTTGACTTGTTGTTTATGCGCGCAACGAACGAGACCAAAAAAAATGTAGAACGAGTTAGAATGAATGGATGCGAACGAAGAGTGGGTGAACGAGATAGTGAGTAGAAGAAGTCGTTTCGCCTGCAAAGTTATCGTTTATCCTTTCGGTCCATTGGCACTTCAATACGCTACACAATATCCAATAAGATGGAAAGACGAATCAATCTCCAACATATTTCACTCTACATCCGATTACAATAAACTTCTTTTGCTCTCCATTTACTTAACAATTCTCCCACCAATGGAAACACTTCACTGCTGCCACTGTTGCCAATACTCTTTCTCTCTCTCTCTCTCTCTCTCTGTGTGTGTGTGTGTGTATTTTGGCTCTTGCGGATCAAATAAATTGCACTAATTTAATTCAAATATGTTTTGTGTATTAAATGAATCGTGTTAACGGGAGCTACGACCGGAGACTGAAAACACACCACCATTTCTCTCTATCGACTCTATATATTCATGGGGGACGATAGGTAGACACACAAACTCGCCAATATTCACTTCAACATTTTAATCGACTCACGAAATTTTATTCACTTTACGTCTAATGAAATTTTCGTCTATTTACCCATTTAGCTAATTTTCTATTTATTTACTTTAATTTTCGGCGAAAATTATTCGATTTTTTGTGTCTTTCTTAAACGTGAACAAAACCCGAAACAGAGCGAGTACGAGCGAGTGACTGAATCATTGAACGGGAGAGCACACACTCGCTGAAACACAGCTCGACGAGCACAGTTCATATCGGGAATGAAAATTTTTCGGAGCCAAAGGCGAAGGCAGGAGGGAAAAGGAACAACACAACTCATTGACGGTGTCTTTCTCTCTCTCTTTCTCTCCGTGTGTGTGCGCGCGCGCCCGCTTTCGATGTGCGATTCCTTGTGTGTGCGCGCCCGTTTGCACACCGACCAACAACCAAAGCCGATACGAATAAATGTGAAACACACGAGAGGGGGAGAGAGTCTACTAAACGACTCACAATGTACTTTACCGTATACACAGTGCAGCATGTACTTTGACTCTCTGTGCACGGAATAGAACACAACACCGAATATCTATAGTACAGTACACAATTGCTACGATTACCATAAAATACCGATTTCACCATTTCCACGATTCCTTGCCGCACATAAAAACACACACACATCCTCGCTTCGCCACGCACACATACACACAAACAATGATATATATGGTATATACACAACACATACTGAGATGCGCGCTACCAAACATATCAAATCAAACGGGAGATACTACGATAGTCAGGATATGCTGTAACGATGCAGGGACTATATCTTAGTGGTAGGAACTCTAATGGGAACGATCCATTTTTGCCAAATGGAAAAGTATCTATATCATCTACTTTTTTTGAATTTTCTGATGATTTCAACCATTCATCGAATATTTAAACAAAAAAAAAATTCCAAAATATGATGATTTCCATCGACCAGAACTCGCACCGTCGCTGAAATTGCACTGAAAATAGTCTCTGCGTGCGGGTAAGAGTTCAAATAAGGGATGAATTGATTGTGTTTGCTGCAATCGTTTTAACATTTCGTATTTAGTTGTTGTTGCTGCTGTTGTTGCTGTTGATGTGTCGATGGACGACGTAACGCGTTATTCATGAGTGAATACCCAATGCACATTGAATACACGCCATCGCCATCGCCACCGCTGCCACCGCGGCTGCTGCTGCTGCTGCTGCTGCTGTTGTTTCGGCCGAATCAAAGGAGAGATCGTGTGCGAGCGCACGAGTTGTGCGATGAATGCGTTTTGTTACAGAAGACACTATGACGACGAGTTATGGCAGAAATGTAGCGTTCGGTGATGCTCATGTGTATTGTGCGCGCACTCTTGCGCGTCTAACATGAAGGTGTAGACAATGAAAACCAACATGAAAATAGGGGATGATTCCACTGTGTGTTGTTGTTTTTTTTTTTGTGTGCTGCTTTTCAATTTTTGTCATATTGAGTCATTGAATTCCATGAAGTTTTCCATACAAAACAAGAAAGCAATGCGAACAAAGTGAATGAAATTCGGTGAGCGACTCATTCGTACGGCAGAGCCGTAAATATTCAAAGCAAAAATGACAAAAAGCCATCTAATGATGACCGAATTGAGAAGAAAAGCGAACGACAAAAGTTGGAAAAGTCGAGTTTCCAACACACATAAAATGCGTGGTACATTAAAAAATTATACTGATGGGAATGCTGTTCATTCAACTGTTTTGTTTTATCTACGTTTCTCCCTTTTTTCCACTTTCTTTCGAGGCTGACATATTTTTTTCGGATACAACGAACAATAATGGCTTTTGTGTGTTTCGCATATCCTTCATCCATATTTGGTTTGCATAAACACTGTGTGCCGATGTTGTTGTTATTGTTGTTGTTCTTCTTCTTCTTTGCTATGCAAAATGGAGAAAATAACGGCTCTCAGTAATTGTTTTCGATGAATGAGTGCCGACTTGACTCGACTATACGTTTTCTATTGCATGCCGGGTGCTTTTGACTTGCCGTTGCAATGAAACAAGGGAAATATCAAGGCGCTCAAGAGGCGAAACCAAAAAAAAAAAAAAAATCAAAGACGATAACAAGGATTCTTCAATGTTTATAGCTGTAACACTCGTCTCGACCGTGCCAATGATGTTTTTCCCATGCTCTGCACCATTAAATACAATAGTTTTTTTCTGTGTGTGTGTATACGGATTTTCTGTTAGTTCGACTGCTTGCAATGTCTTTTAGTTTGCGTTGCATTCCCATCACCGACATCTCTCTCACGAGCGCATTTTCACATTCCGTTTTTCGGCACTTTCTCGTTCGATGTGTTGATTTTCATTTAAACCGAACGAAAGTGCACTTAAGATCGTTTACACCATTCAACCATAGTGTATCCCTGTGTGTTAATTATCACAAATATTTTCACTGTTGCTGCTGCCTATTTAGTACACTGTTTTTTTTTTCCAACATCATTGCAGCTATGAATGCATTTCCCTACAACTCATTTCCATATATATTTTTTTGTTCTGTCCCATTGCCTATCGCTTCTCTTGTGACTGTTGTGCTCGTGCAACACGGACAACTGCAGCTGTATCTTCCGTGGAACGTGCGTTTGCGTAGGCAGAGAGAAACTCAGAGAGGGAGAGAGAGAGAGAGAGAGCGAGTGGGAGCTCATGTTTGGCATTTTTATATGCCAACATGTTCTCAAAATAGAGTTGTAGCCACATCAATCATTGAAATTACCTTGCTGTCAACATAAACACCGGATGCATCCATGGATAATGTAGCAAACTTCGAATTTCAAATTAGCTGCATTGTTGAATGTGCACTGAATCTCTTGAAACATTAACATCAAATGTATCGTAGGCTTTGACATTGTCAAATACTTTTACTACTTATTCTCTTTCTCTCTCTCCCTCTCTGTCTCATCTCCGGTTTTCTGAAGCGGTGAATAACATCATGGTAAAACATGTCGTCGTTATTTTTTTGTTGTTGCTGTTACAACAGTAGCAATTTTCCATCAACGTGATGTTCAAATATTGGCACTTCTTACTTAACATAAAATTATTAATAAAATTCTTACCACGTTCGCGATGAGCAGGGTATTTCTTTTTTAATCTCTTTTTCCAACAGAATAATAATAAAATGGGGCGATTTTTTTACGATTCTAGTAATTATTTATTTTCAGTTTTCTTCTTTTACGAAATATAATAGTTTTTTTTGTTTTCATTTTCTTGCTTAAAATAAATTCTAACGCGTCATTCTTTACTTTAAATTTGTTCATTAATATATGTGTAGTTGGATGTTTGTGAAAGGAAAAAAAAAAGATGATAAAAAAATACACTGGCAAAACGGTTTTAACTGTTTAGGTGCTCTGTTTTCAATTTCGTTTTGATTTTTAAGTATTTGTAGGGTCGATTTGACACCGAATCCGGATTTATGATGACGATGGGTTATTTATGCATTCAATATATATGTGTCATTTAAATAGCTTCAAAACAGATCCAGCTGATTACAAAGAAAATAAAAGTTTAAAAACATTGTCACAATTTTTCTATGGGAAATATAACAAAAACAGTGAAGCAACCGATTTTCATCGATGAGACAAGAATAACAATTTTTTCTCCGTATGCAAAATCAATTAACCGAAACATAAAGCACATAATTTCTATGTCTATTTTTTTTGATTCGTATTTGTATAGTTCAGGAGCTGAGGTGACATATTGGCATTGTGAATCAGTATCGGAATTTGAAAACTCAGGATTGCTTGCGTACGCTGTCACCCCCAAAAAACAAACTCAATAAACAACAACGATCATCTGCATTAACATGACAGTCAAATAATTGAATTGTCGTTGCTACTCCCTTGTGTCGCCCATTCTATGTATACTGCTTTTAAGAGATAATTTATATGGCGCACGAATAGGGGGAAGAGAAAGGAGACGAATAGTCGATGAAGAAGAAGAAGAAGAGAAAAGAAAACATAGCGTCTAGTGAAGTGCTTCTCAAGTTATATGGCTGGCATTGATTGCGCACAATATGCTATTGATTGAGCATCATTTTATGATGGATTCCGGGTGAATTTTTTTTTTAAGTGATCTTCCAGATCCTGTATGTGATGTTTTAGGAGTGTTTTTCATTTACAGCATCGGAGACGATTGATGTATTTGAGTGTGAGTGTATGTGTGTGTGTGTGATTCTGATGAGTGTAAATGATGTGGCCGCTGCATCAAAACGATTATTTCCCTTACTCAGACATTCGTTGACGCTTACAATCCGTATACAGTAAACTATTTATAACCGGTGACATACTTCGATCACGACTTGTACGCTCGTTTCCATTGTTGTTTCCATGAGACTGTAAACAAATAACAAGAGTGTTTAATTTAAATCCATTATCTCCTGATTTGTTCCATTTTAAAACACTTACCACTCCGGTGATGATGTTATTTGATGAGTTGCTTATACTGATGCCACCATTATTTTCTTGTTCCTCGAGAAAACGGTCCATGTAGTCAGTGAGGCCAGGATGTAGGTTGTATTTCTTCTTTTCAAGACGCGCCTTATTCGCAAAGATGTCATGTCGTTCGGTCTTTTTCCATAGATAATAAAATTGAACAAGCTCGCTAACTGATCGCGTTCGCACTTTTGATTGTTGTATCGCATGAAAATCTTTGCCATACACACGCAAACCACTCTCAAAGTTACGACACTCTTCTTCTGACCACAGCGTATTTTCGATGGATGGCGACTGATTTGATGCCGTTGCAGCTACTGCCACCGCTGTCTGAGGTATTGTTGCATTCAATCGCCTTCGACGCAATGCCTCCTCTGTGTTATGACCACACTGTAACAGCAAGAATAATGAACCCTCATCGTCACGGAGATGTAATCCGTTTGGCAATGTTAGCGGTTTCGGTTGTAAACTCTGTGACGTTGGCGATGCCGGTGAATTGGACGATGGTGAACCCACGATTACCGGTATGCTTGCCTTTTGTAAATACGATTCAATATCACATTCTTGTAATTGGGACGGATCCCACACTAGTTTATCTTCATTTTCATACGGCAGTGCATCATCGTATCGACAAAGACCCTCCGGTATTTGCGCCTGATACTCACTTCCCACCATTATTTTCTATAAGAAACAGTTTCCGATTTCATTATTATCAATTTTGTTTTTTTTTTTTCTTCGGGAAAGAGATTTTGGTGGTTACAAATAACGTGTACTCGCTCGCAATAATGATAGCCAGTGTGTCAACGAGGCAGGACATCAGTTAATGCGAGAGAGACAAAATTTGACACCGCCAATATTTTGTGAAAAATCTCAGCCGTTCTTTCATGAAAATTTTCAAATCAAAAACTGATTTTTTTCGGAATTTTGTTTTTTTTCTTTGGCTCAATATAAAAGAAATAAAACTTTATTGCTTTGTATTTGTCACCTTTTTAAATTCATCCTCTTCTGGACTGTAATCAATGTCTTCTTCTTCCTCATCATCGCTGTTTGGTTGCGAATTGGCTGCGAAAAGTAACTTACATTTAATATTTGCAGGAATATCTACTGGTCATTTCCTTTACCTCGTAATAATCGTGGCTCATTGGGTTTATACGTTTCAGGATACAATTTTTTCAGCTCAGATTCTTCTTCTTCAGATTCGTCGTCATCTGTAGTTGAGAGAGAGAGAGAGAGAGAGAGAGAGAAAGTGAGACCTAAGTTTTTCCCATCAAAATAAATCAGTCCAATGATTATCATCAATGAATGAATGGCAATTGTGCAAAAAGTGTCTCCAATTGCATTTTTATCCATTTAGAATTATAACATAGTTTTAATTTACTAAGCAAAAGAAATTTATCATTTTCGAAATGAAAAAAAAATGTAACAACAATTGATAAATTTGATTCGATTGATACCAAAAAAATATTTTTTCTTCTAAAAGATTTCTCCTAAAATCGCTATGATTTAAATCATATCAATGAATGGTAGACAATGTATCATAATTGGATTCACTTTAGTAATTAAAATACCTTCGTCTACTGTTTCTTCGATGGTTTCAGCGTCGTTGGCCTTTTTCGAGTGTTCTTCGTTCTTGATAATTGAATCAGTTTGTGATTTTTTGTCTTTATCGTCATCTGTGATTCGAGTTAATTTTCCATTAATTTCAAGTTCTAAATTATACGAAAATATGGATTTTATCGCTCGAAAAGCATTTTTCTTCGGCATTACCTTTAGTTTCATGTGCAACTGTGTCAGTACTCTCCTTATGGTCAGAACCATTGGATTCGTTTTCATGTTTTGAACTATTTTCCTTGTCGCTGCTATTCGTTTCCGTTGACACTCCTTTCGTCTCCTCTTCAATTTCACTTTCTGGTGGCTGTACCTTGTCCACTTTTGATGTGTTAATTTCTTCGTCATTTTCGTGTTTACTTTCATCGGATGGATTTTCTTCATTCGATTCTTTCTCTTCATTGACAGTTGCATCAGTGCTCGGTTTGGTTTTCGTTTGTGTCTCTAGTTCTATATTTGATTCAGGCTTAGTGTCTGGTTGTAGTTCTGTTGTTGTTTCTGTTTCTTTTTCTGTTTCTGTTTTTGTGTGTGTTTCTGTTTCAGCTATTGCAGCACCTTCGGATTGTTCATCTTTCGCCTTTTCGCTGGACGATGTATCAGTTGAGGTTTTCGGCGTATCAGGCGGTGGCATAAGCGTTTTATCAATTCCAGCATTACGTGATGTTTTCGATCGTCGTTTCCCTCCACTCGATGATGAGAATGTTTGGATTGTCGGTGGTACACAATTATATAATGCTAAAAGTTCCTCGATTGGCATGTCTCCTTCCTGCAACAGAAAAGAAAATTATGATTAAACAATTCGAAATTTCGTCACATAACTCAATAGTCGATTCATCATGTAAATTACTCACTTTCTGTAAACTATTCAATTCAGCATTTGGATCTTGAGCTTCGGTAGATGCCATTTTCTCTTCCAGTTCAAGGGTACTTTCATCGTCAAAATCATTGACCATCATTTCCAGCGATGGCTCAAACAGTTTATCATCGCTGGAATTGAGTTCGGAGCTAGTGTTTCGATTACTCCTCGAACTGGATGCACTTTCGTTTGTGTTTTTCCTCGACGACATGTTCACTTTAGAAACCAGCAGCAATCTAGCATTTGGAATAAACATGGAATTTTGGTTTTAGAAAATGACATTGAGTATGCGGAAAATTATTGGCGGCAAAACCTATCGAGTCTCTCGATTTGTTGATTCCGATCACAATCGACACAGTCAACTTTAACAGTGATTGGGCACAGTGAATGGATTCTTTATGTGGGGAAAAGGTGAACAAATGGCTGTTTTGTGTATTTACCCGTGAAATTCAATGGGGCGCCAATAAATGTTGCAGTCACACAAAGTAAAATATGCGAATAGCAGGAAGCGAATAACAATTCCATAAATCTAAGCAACGAATCACCAATTGCACGGGTTGCGTTCTTGTTCGGAAATTTTGGGTTGCCTGCCGTTTTGGGCAAAAAAATTAACACGCGCGCTCACAAACAAACAAAAAAAAACCGTCCGCTGCATATACGAAATAAATTATGCATTCAAAAAATGCATGCACATGTGAATTTCAGGCTTTGTTTACACTTCACTAAACGCAATTTTAGATATGCGATCGCTTTCGTTAACGATTTCGTCGTGAATTTTATTTCAAATAAATCGGTGCGAATTGTGTGGCGAAAAGTCGAAAACGCGCATAAAATAATCGTCCAAAATGAAAGAGTTTTGTATACAAAATATTCAGATTGAACAAAAAAAACAAATGTCTTCACACAATTTATACAGCCACACAAATACATGGGCACCAATCGAAACATAGGTAGATTTTGGCTTTCAGTGTATAAAATTACAATGGTTTAAATGTCAAATGACTCGATGGTTTACATGCATTTTTGCACACAGACACTCATACACATACAAATCGATTGGATGCTTCCATAAAGCAGTCATGCCACTACATCCAACCAAAATCAAATCAAATTCATGAGCGCTCGCATTCATTGTTACGCAGAGCTACCAACCGAATTATGGTGGAAAATAAGGGGGAATCAACGTCAAATGACTTTAACACATTTCAGACACTTCAACCTGTGACACATCGACAGACCTAACAACTTTGTTTTCAGCAGCGCTCCGATTATTTCGTTCGATTAGTAACCACATTGGAGAAATAGGTAAATATATGATTTTTCACAATAAAATTGTCTGTAATTCAATGGAAATAAATTATCTTTCATTCCGATTTTATCTGTTCACACAGTTTTGCAAATATTTATTCAAAATGAGTGAAGACGACTCAAAAGTTAAATTCAAAGTTACGTTAACATCAGATCCAAAGCTGCCGTTTAAAGTGTAAGTGAAAGTATACATGTGAATCAGTGGTTGTGATTTGCTAATTTGTGTTCGATGACTGGTTTCTATTCCACAGGTTTAGCGTGTTTGCGAGCATTCCATTCACAGCTGTTGTTAAATTTGCTGCCGAGGAATTTAAAGTAGATCCAGCGACAACAGCCATCATCACAGAGGACGGTATCGGTATCAATCCACAACAAACAGCTGGCAATGTTTTCATGAAACATGGTTCGGAATTGCGTTTGATTCCACGCGATCGTGTCGGACACATTGAGGTTTAGGAATATTTTTGAGCTAGATCTTTCGGAATAAATATCGGAACGAAACAATGTGGCAACCAATTGCAACACTCAAATTCCAAACGCATATTTAAACTCTTATTATGTATTTAAACAAATTGAACGCTGTTTTAGTTATTCATGAATATCAAATCACTTTATTAAAGGAAATCGCGTAAAGCGATTTTATTCCGATAAAAGCGAAAACTGTTTTATTCACTTGCGGTTGTTGATTATTTTTTTCGGTTCCTCATTTTCTTTAAAAAAGAAAAAAAACATTTTTGTACTTAAATAAGATGAAATTTACACATTTGATGTTTGATAAATCAAATTTCTATAGAAATTTTTATTTGTTTTTGTTTTTTTTTGTTCATTAATGCGAAATAAATCCCATAACGAGCATATCAATACTTACTTTTTGCTATGTTTGAACGGTTCAAAGCTTGTCAAGAAAAATTATTTAATCGAATGATATAAATATAAAAAAATTCAAAAAAAAAAAGAAAAAATGATAAAAAAAAGATCTAAATCGAAAATAATTTGTGTTTGCATCTCTTCAACAATTTCAGGGTTTTTACTTGAAATAAAATGTGTGAAAATTTGTGTTTCATTTTTATTTGTTGAAAATCGTGCGTCATTCAATGTGTTTTTGTAATTTCTTTTTTCTTTACTCTATCCTTTATTTCAGTTTCGATCCCATTCACAAAGGATTTGCTATACAATTTTCAATGATGATGTCCATTTCACGAGAAATTGAGAAGAACGTTATAGAAAAAGCGATTTTTTTTCTTCTGATATTCATGTAATTAAGCGTTGAGATAAAGAAACAATGCACGAATTCATGACAACATATAATTCATTCTCATTATTTATCATCTGTTTATTTTTATAATATACCTATGAATTACATATTTTTTTTATATTCAATGAAAAAAGGATTCAGTTAACAGTTTTTTTTTTTCTTTCTTGTATTATTTATATGAACATTAAAACATTACAAAAAAAAAAGAAGAACGGGAGAAAAAAAAAGATCGATAAATTGGTTGTCGTAGACATTTTTCTTTCTCTATCATTTTGTTGAGTAGAAGAATGTCCTACGAACAAATCTAAATTAATTTCGAACATTTTACAATTTGTTTTATCTTTCAATTTTATATTTTTTTTCCTTTAAAAAGTAAGTAAATTATATTTGAGTTGTGAGTGAAAGGCGATTTTGGTAAAAAGTTTTTTTTTCTTTCATTTTTTTTTTGCTTCATATTTCTCGGCGTTTTAATTCCATGTCAAACACTGACCATTGAATACAAAATAAGGGCAATTTAGACTTTACGACGAGTAAAACAATTTTTCTTTCATTTGAGTTTTTGTTTTCAAATTATTATTTTTTTTTTTTCAACGTTTAACATTTAATAAACAAGAACGGGAAGGGATTCAACGCGCTTTTTTTTCTCTTTTCTTTTCGTTTTCTTCAATGAATTTTTTGGGGATCTCTCATTCTCATACCAATTTGGTTTTAATCATTCTATTGGAACCCATTTGTTTGTCTCATTATTTGTCAAATGCATTTGTGTTGTTGTGTGTGTGTGTTGGTGGTCATGATATATAGTTTTCATGGGAGTGTGTGAGGGGAGGAGGATGAAATGGAATATAAAAAAGAGCTACTTCAAAATGTATGATTCATATACATAAAATGCAAACATACAAATGAGTGAAAACATCGAACGCATTCGCATATTGATTGTGCGCGTTTTACAATTGCACTATAGCCAATCACATTGATGCCGTCTGAAAAAAAATGTGGAATCGTTTGTTTGTTTGTTTGTTTTTTTTTTTCCTTTTTTGTGAATAAAATTTTCATTATTTTTAGCAAATTTCAAAAGTAACTAAAAAAAAAAGGAAAAGAATTAAGAAATGAATAGCAAAAGTGGACGATAAAAGACTTGAACATGGGACAAAAAGCAATAAAAGCATGTTGCGCGATATTTTTCTTCTTTCAACAGTGTGCAAATCGGGATGAAGCACACAACCTAAATTCATTTTCAATTTCTAAATCTTTTGATGCAATGGGGGAAAATCGGTGAAGATTTTTTTTTTCATATTTTCTATGATTTTTCGACGAATTTAACAAAAAATCGGGAAAATTGTGAAGAAAATTCAATATTCGCTTTTTCAATTTGGTCAGAAATTCGCTCTTTCAATTTCTTCGAAAATTCACAACGAAATGCATCGAAAATCGTCGAAAAAGTCGGTTCAGCGTTTCACAGAGAGCAAAAATGTTTGTTATGATTTCGGTAGAAAAAAATCAAAAACGAATCATGGAATCATTGTTTCTTTGTGTCTCTGCATAATATTGAATATGAAATGAAGGCGCAATACTTTTTGACGGTATTTCGTTGAATCAACAAAAATTATTTTCTATTTGCAGCATTGCAAGCGCTTGTAGATTGTTCGAATTTACACACTGAGATTATGACATCCTTTTTTTCTTAATCTTTTGTTTTTTTTCCGCGTTTTTTGTTTTTGTTTGTTGCTTCTATGATTTGATTGAGTAGTGTGCTTTCATTTACTACACATAATTACAATATACTTCTATTCATAAAATCAATTTCACATTGTTTCTCCTTTCCATAAATTGGTTCTCTCTCTTTCTCTCCCGCTTATCTCTTTCAATTTTATTTTATTTGCTTAAATCATTTGTTGTGTTCTCTTTGTTATTCTTGTTGTTTTATTCTCCTCTTGTTGTGATTGGCTTTACAGTTTGAATCCATTTGGATTGAATTATTCCCTTTTAGAATTTTGTTCCACTCAAAATCGTACTTGTTTTGCATTTATGATCGGTTTTATTCATTTGTTGCTTGATTTTTTCTTTTCTTTTCTTTCTTTTAATTATTTGTGTGTAGACTTTTTTTTCTGAATGAGATTTTATTTATGTATATGTATGTGTTTGTTTTTGTGTGTGTGTGTTTGTTTGTTTTGTTGTAGCTGATGGTTAATATGTGACTTCATTTTGTTTCGTCTTGCAGCAATTAATTTATAAAAGCACACACAACGATTTTTTCTTCTGCTTTTGCTTCTTTTCTGGTGATTTCTTATTTATTTGTCTCACTAAGTCATAAAATATCTGTGGAATAGAAAGGAAAGAATGCATTTAGTGTCGGCATAGCTAAATGATTTATTTTCCGAAGGGCTTATGTGTAATGCGGGTCAGTGCAATTCTCACAATAGTTAGTAGACAAAATATTGGCAGCTACGAGAGTCTTGTGAATCTGTGTGAAGAATCTCGAGTTTTGAACCAATCTTTTAATATGAACTCACGAATCACTGAACCAAACTATTTAAAATTGACTACATACAAATTTGATATGTCACTTAAGAACTATGTGAGTCTTTTTTGATTCGCGACAACAAATTAGCCCCTCGTTATTTTCTTGATGATTTGCGATGTTATTTTTCCTATTCCAAATTGAACTTACATCGTTAACATTAATTTTAGCTTTGGCTGATGTTTCCATAAAAGCACAATTGAATTGATTGGCTAAACCTTTTCCCAAATCCTTTCCAACCACTCGTTCTTCTTCTAAGTCGCATTTGTTGCCTACCAGTACCATCGGCACATCATCGGTATCCTGCAATGAAAATCCATCATGATCATGAACATCAGTTGCATTGTCAAATCGGAAATTTGATCGATGGAAAAAGGGGAATGGAATCACATTCCAATACTCACTTTGACACGCAATATTTGTTCCCTTAGATCTTGCAAATCGTTAAATGTTGATTGTGCGGTAATTGAATACACTAAAACAAATCCCTGGCCATTTTTCATGTACAAGTCACGCATTGCTGTGAATTGTTCCTGAGGAAAAACAATACGAGATTAGAAGATTGATTCGGATTTCGGAAGAAAAAAAAAAAACGACAAAGGGGGAAATTGTGACGACTTACCGTGCCAGCTGTATCCAGTATCTCGAGCATACATTGTTGTCCATCAACTTCGACTTGCTTCCGATAGCTGTCTTCGATGGTTGGATCGTATTTTTCTACGAAAATTCCTTGGACAAATTGCACTGTGAGCGCAGATTTGCCAACACCACCACTGCCCAGGACGACAATTTTGTATTCACGCATTTTGTTGTAGGTTGTCGCTTGTTTCGGCGCTTCAACACAATTCTGATGATCGGACTGACTTTGACTGTATCTCGCTTCTGCTGTTGCTGCTACTCTTTCGTGCACTTTTGCTATGCACTTCCGCTATTTAACTGTACTCGGTTGGATCACCCCTTCGGTGTGTGGTAGTTCAGTGTAGTATAATTCTATGAAACGATCACGTTTGTTCTACCAGTCCAAGTTGAAATCTTTGACAAATACCAAACGAAACAAAAACGACATTTAATTAATAAAATATTACGCACTCCGTCGATGCGCTTCAAACAATAATTCAGTTGAAAATAGCGAGGAACAAAAAAAAAAACAAATTCTTTTACACAACATTCACACATTCACACATGCACACCATACACAGAAAAGAAAACATGAATAAATTACTTCGTAAACAAGAATCAGGACGGATGTAAATTAGATAAACGTTCGACCGCAAGCCGACGATTCAAGCTTGTACCCGAACTGAATATGAATTAACTGAACAATAACAAAAAATTGTATTCATATAAAAGAATTAAAATTTCACTCGCATAGATTTGACCTCTTCCTCTCTCTCTCTCTCTTTATCGCTCTGGGTGTATGTATGTGTGTGCTTCTGTCTTTGTTTGTCGCATATAAACGCCCAGCAAATGCCATGCATACACTCATCAATGTACCGAGAGAGCACAGGATTTGATGATGACTTTATTGATCATCGAATTGGATATAACCGATTTATTAAACAAAGCGACAAAACTAATAATACATTGTAAGCGTTCCAAATACACAATCTGAAGTAAAAAAAAAGAGTGAAGCGAAAAAAACCAACAACAACAACAACAACAGCACACAGCCACAAATACACACACATCTAAACGTGAAATGAAATGGGCGGCACACGACACTGGGCGATAGGGAACATTTATTGCTTTGCACGCGGTACCCACACGGTGGTATAGAACATGCCGACACAGCGTCGAAAATGCCGTTGTCATAGTTTAGCATGTGCATGCACATACGACTACGTCATACATTCCCACGAAATGACTTTTCATACCTCGTGCTGACGCTAATCGATGCAAAAGCAACAGTTGAATTCGTGGCATCTCATAATAATATCGCTGGAAATAATACGAATCCAACACGAATTTCACCTTTTATATACACACACACACACACCATGCATCGAGCAAGTAATTTGAGAGCTCAAACAATGAATACAATTTTGCAACAATTTGGAAGTTAGAAGAAAAATCGCCTGATCGTCTGTCGATTTCACTTTTTTTTTTCTCGATAATTAGACAAAAGAATATGAGACGAAAAAATCACGATCTCATTTGCAAATGGACTGTGCACATTCCAATAAAAAATTAGAGATTAATTCAATCATTTCAGTTCTTTGGTCGTAAAAAAAAATTGCCATTCGCATGGGAAATATCATGCACATTCAATGAAAATAACAACGAAAGGCCATACTAAAATCAAAGTGTCGGTTGCATCAAATTTAATGCAATTTGTCGCTTTTAAATCAATTAGCTGCCTCGCAAACGACCCATTTGTATCTAGCATGAAAGTGCAACTAGATGTATTTTTCAAATAAAAACTGAAAAAAAAGTGAGATTAATTTTCTAATAATTTTTCTTTCTTTCGTTCGTCTCTCCATATCGTCATACCATTTTGTCTTGTGTTCGCGATATTTTTTTCGTTATGGCCTATAATTGATGTGCGTGGTACATTGCAATGCATATTTTCTATTCGGTTTTTCTTTGTGTTGCAGTTGTTGTTGATTTCATTCCGTGTTTTTTCGTTCATTCGTTAGTTTAATTCGATGAGCAATACTTTATCAATGCACAGCGGCAAAATATTTAGTCGATCGAACGAGAGCAATGCAATGCAATTTCCATAGCCATATGATTGTGAGCTTCGATCGCGTTCATCGCTCATTCGATGAATTGCTGTGTTATTCGGTGTTTTGTGTGTGAACATCAATAACAACAGCAACAGGCCCAACTGTATCTCTCTCGCTCTCAATAATAATCTTTCTATGGAATGCATGCATGTGTAACGAAAATCCAACACGCTGCAAAACGATGAAGACAATACAACAAAATCGAAGCGGACAAGAAGAAGAAGAAGAGGAAACAGAAAGAGAAGTTTATATACGAAAAATGAAGAAAAGCGATAGAATAAACAAGTGGCTGTTGATTATTGACAACGAGACACGATTCCGAACCGGTGCTTTGCAAATGGTGAAACAAACAAACTGAGAAAAAAATTTGCCGAAACGAAATCAGTTGGATTTACATGTATTGAATGCTTAGGTTCGGAGCTGTTGTCGAAAAGAGGGAGAGAGAGAGAGAGAGAGAGAGAGAGCGAGAGAGAGAGAGATGTGGAAGAGGGGGACATCGACTGGATTTCTGTGTTAATACACAGTTCTGTGCGTCAGCGATGGTTGTTATTATTGTTGTAACTCGTATTTATTTATGTCGTTTTGTTTCATCGGTCGAACATAATCAAGCATATTGTAAAGAAAGAAATCTTTTGGTCCGTGTCATCAAACAATTTTGTATGCTCAGACAATCAATCGCCTTTCTCACATTCTTGATGCATTCACCGCAATTGTTCGTTTAACCAAGCGATTTGATTCGAAGGTATTTTGTCAAGCCATACTGCGATTGCATTCTTTTCAATGATTCGACGGTTTTCCATATCAAACGAAAATAAAATATGCGATAATATAAATAAAACAAGCGAACAGAAAGTAATACGATGGCAGGGACTGTAACTCTGAGGAGGAGGAAATGTGAGGAGGAGAATGAG